TGGATGATCTATAGATATGAAACTTAATTCGTGTTCGTCTCGTATAGATTAAATGTATTTTTACAAATAATTAATTTAATTTAATTCAAAAATTTTGTTTATAATAATTAATGTTTAATAAACTATATACTTAGGGGGTGTTTGAGATTGCTTATTTGAAACAACTTATGTTTTTCTATAACAGTCTTTATCCACTTGTTATAAGTTATAATAGTTTAACTTTTTCAAAAAAATTTATTACCGGTTTGGCACCGTTATAAACTGTTTATCCAAATACTCAAAATTGTTTATTACCGGAGCCACACTAGAATAAATCAATAAGTTATTTTTATAAGCAATCCCAAACACCCTCTTAGAGTAAGTCTTTGAAAATCAAAAAGCCAACTGGAGATGATAATGGAACGATAACGACCAATTCTATTACCCTTTGATTTCATTCCACCATATCAAACATGTCATTAGTGTTGATGTTTGTCATGTGGTCGACAATAGGGACGAGTTGTCTGTTAATTTAACCAACTGATCATATTATTTTGATTTGATAAGAGAAATGTAGACAGCCTCTAATAGATAAATATAGCTTTTACAAATACTTTATATTTACAATATATAATTAAAAAAAAACTTAAAAATATGATGTTTACATTATCTGTATTTCCATTATTTTTTCTAAGTGGAAAACGACATTCAATCATGCAATGGACGAGCTTTGTGCTAACGGAAAAAAAGACGATAACATTATCGACTCATAAAAAAAGATACTGAAAGCGATTCTTTTGTAACACTACATCCTTGTGGTATGTGATGTTTCTTTCAAAAAAAAGGTTTCGGTGATTATAAATCTTTTAATCATTTTTATGAATTTAAAAAAAAAAAATCAATCTTAAAGAACTTTCGGTTGTTAAGATATAACGGTTTGACATAGTCTGTTGTCTTATTTTTATTTATTAAAAACAACATATAATCTAAAAACAAAATTATTAAATATATGGTGGTTAAGGATTTTACTCTTTTAAGGTTTTCGTATTTAATATAATCCCAAACAATTTTTAATAGAACAAATTACATGAAAAAGTAACGTACTTTAATTTGATTTTTATTTTGGTTAACGTATTTTAAAAACTTTCATTTTGGTATCTAAGATGTTAACTTTTAAACATTTAAGTATCCGGGTAATAAGTTGAATTATTAACTCTTTCTTCTAATAAACCGCAATACATAAAAACTAATTTTAGATTAAGTATTCATGTCAGCAAATAATACTGAGTTAAAAACTACATCACTCATCACATCAACATGGTAACCGATTGATGTTTCAACCGGTTATCCGGATACTTAAATGTTTAAAACTTTATATCTTAAATATTAGAATAAAAGTTTTGAAAGTACGTTATACAAAATAAAAATTAAGTTAAATTATGTTACTTTTTCATTGAATTTATTCTTTTTAATATGGAAAAAAGAAAGGCAAAAAAGAAGAAATTCTCAATAAAAAGTAAAATTTTGATGTTATATAATATATTACTTATTTTATTTATTTATCTTAGAGAAAAAAAAGGAGGTTATGATAAAATTAGAATTTTATAAAATGACTTTATTGTTTACTGGGACATTAATTATATTTAATAACATAAGTTTTAAAACCATAAAAAATTGTTGTATTATTTTAAAACCTTTTAATGCTCTAAGAAACTTCACAAATGTTTGATCGTAAATATTAACCAGTAAGTAATAAAATAAAAAATAAAAAATAAATTATTTGTTTTTTTATATAATATAATAGATTATTTTTATATAGACTTAAATATTAATTATAGATTAAATTGAAGGAATGAAAATTTAATCAAAGTTTCATCTTCATTTATATTTTCTTTCTTCAGTCTGAACCAAAATAAAAGGTTATTTGACAGTTGCTAAATGGATCAATGCATGATTAACAAATTCTTATAATATAATGCAAAATGAAATATAATTATTTGGTAATTAATTAAAAATTAAATTAGGGTGTTAAATTATTAAAGGAGCCTTATGATACAAAATCACTTAAGAGACGTATTTTTTTTGACAAACAAGATCCATCTCTTAATGATTCAGAGACTGTCTTTTAATAAAACTATTAAAAAGTAAATAAATAACTATTAATTCTTTATTATATCATATTTAAAAGAGAATAACTAATAATATTTTAATTTAGAAAATAAAGCCTATTAAATAAATGTGAAAATACTTTATATATTTTTAGACAATAGGCCCCGGGTAAGCAAAGTAATTAAAGGTGAAACGGAGGGATTGATAGGGTGTGGGTAGGGTCCACAGCAGGTGGAATGGATATTGATCTGTCTGGTTGGATCCAATCATAAAAATCATCAATCTACTCATGATGACACAATGGATGGATTTGATGAGCCTCATGGTTTTGGGTCCCACGTGTCATGTCTCTTGCTTCTGTGGATCTGAATAATCAATGGCTACATCCTCCTGTTTTTCATTTTAACCAATTTCTTTTCTTTTTTATTGATTTTATATATTTTATTTAATTACTTCAAATAATTTATCTGATTTTATATGATTAAAAATACTGTAATAAATTCTCTAAAATAAAGATGTTGGAAATTTTTACTCCAATAAATCATTGAATATCTTTACTGAAATATTGAAAGTATGACAAAGAAGGTAGAATTTTTTAAATTTAAAAAATTCTCAAAAAATAATTAACTATTAAAAGATTATTATTTATTATTTTTATCAATAAGAATCCTATAATTAAATAGATATAAGAGATAAATCATATTTTATAAAAAGTATTGAATATTTCTAATAATATAATTAATATCATAATATCCAAAATAAAAAATGTACCGGAGATGAATATAAATTTTATTTGAAAATTTAGATTTTTTATTCTTAATTTTAGAGGATCTGTTGAAGATGCTATTAATACTCTCTTAGGGTCTATTTTTCTTAGCGGATTAACAAGTTTAATGATATTTACAACTTTTTCGATCGTCTATATATGAGCAGTGACTTAATAATATAAAAAGTGATTTATTCAATAAGCTACTAGAGAACTTTATGCAGAAAACCATTTTTTTTCCCCAAACATGAATCTTATAATTAAAAAACACGTTCTTTCCATATATTAAAAGAACCGTTTTTATTCATATACTACTTAATGAAAAACCAACTACACATCCCCTTTATTTTAAAAATATTTTAAAAATTATGAGATTTAAAAATTTGAAACATTTTTAGTAAATATTTAGAATAAATAAATAATAGTAGCATTTAATAAAAGAGTCAACGGTCAAACGATAAAAAGGGTTTGGTTGCATGAACATTTGGTCATAAAAAGTCATTGTCTTCTTTCACAACAAAAAGACACCTCTCTCTCTCTATCTCTCTCTCACACACACACACACTCCCTCTCTTTATTTCAGCTCGGCTTTAAACGGCTTCATCAAGCCGCCAAGCTCTTCTCTCTTCATTCTATATAACCCCATTCATCTCCCTCCTCCAGCTTATTGTCAAACCCCTCTCAATCTCTCTCTCTCTAACCAAAAGCATCTGCTCTCAAACTCCATCACCCAGATTCCAAAACAGTTATTGCTGTTAATCTGTTATCATCAAGTTTAATTTGAATATATACAGAAGAAATCTCAAAATCTGTACTGGAAATGATGGTTGAGAACCAGGATTTGGGTCTGAGTCTTAGCTTGAACTTTCCGGCAGCGGCGGAGAGAAATCCGTCTTCACTTCAGTTGAATCTGATGCCGGCTTTGGTTTCATCTCAATCGTCCTTTAATGTTCTCCATAGAACCCCTAATTGGACGGATTCCTGCCCGTCTTCATCAGGTATTTATCTACATACAATCATCTCCATCAAAAATGTAAAATACTGTTGTGTAATTTGTAAATAGGTTAACAGATCTACAGTTATCTATCACCGTGGTGTAATTGAACATTTCGAATTTTCGATTCCTGAAATAATCGATTGTTTGATTGTTTCAGTAGATCATCCAATTGTGTAGCATAAAAGAATTTTCTAGATCTAAAATACGATTTCTGAACGGATCTGTTACATGCAGATCGGAACAACGCTGATGCGTTTAGAGTGGAGACGAGATCGTTCCTGAAAGGAATCGATGTGAACAGGTTACCGCCGACGACCGCCGAGGCGGAGGACGAGGCAGGCGTCTCCTCGCCGAATAGCACTATCTCGAGCATCAGTGGGAAGAGGAGCGAGAGAGATCTCCCCGTTAACGAACACGATGGCGAGAGAACTTCTTCTCGAGGTCTCAGTGACGATGAAGACGGCGATAACTCTCGGAAAAAGCTCCGGCTATCGAAAGACCAGTCGGCGGTGCTTGAAGAAAGCTTCAAAGAGCACAACACACTCAACCCTGTAAGTTACCCTTTAAAAGCTTGTATGGTACAAGTCTGGATCAATGGCATAATCGTAATTTTACTCAAAGTTTATGGTTTGTTATCTGGCAGAAGCAAAAACTGGCTCTGGCAAAGAGACTTGGGTTGAGACCACGTCAGGTGGAAGTTTGGTTCCAGAACCGAAGGGCACGGTCAGTAATTTTTCTCATTCTCAGAAGGATATTTTTGTAATTAGTTTTACCCCTGGAGGCGAATTTAATTAACGGGTTTTTGATTTGTGTTACAGGACCAAATTGAAGCAAACGGAGGTCGATTGTGAGTTTTTGAAGCGATGTTGCGAGAACTTAACGGAGGAAAACCGAAGGTTACAAAAGGAATTACAGGAGTTAAGAGCGTTAAAACTTTCGCCGCAATTCTACATGCAAATGGCACCACCAACGACCCTGACCATGTGCCCGTCATGTGAGCGTGTGGCGGCTCCGCCTCCGTCTTCCGCCATGGACAAAGCGGCCGACCACCAACACAACCGACCCCACCGGATGTTGCCTTTCAATCCATGGTCGACACCCACCGCACATCAACAAATGAATGGCGTCCACCCTCGATCGTAAAAGGGCATTTTGGGTATAAAAGGGTTATAACATAGATATGATGAGGAAATTGTATTTGGGGTTTTATGGTACTTTGAGGGATAGTTTTGTAATTTTTTTGGTATTTATTTAGTTTTTAGTATTTAAAGTTTATTATTTCTTCCCTGAAGAAAAATTGATTTGTTTGAATGACAATGGGAAGAAACCCAACTACATTCCCCTTCCTAATTTTATTTTATTTTATTTGCTAATTAAATTTAAATTCTTCATTGAAGCCGACAAAATATATATGAAATTTATGACCACCGTGGCCCATGGAATATTTTTTGATATTTAATTAATAATAATAAAATTATATACAAATTAAATACTATATTATTTATATTAAGATAAAGAAAGAATTGTAATTTAACATTCTATAGGCAGTTGTATTAGTTGTTATATGTTTTTTCTATAATTAGGGGTCATTTTCAAACGCTTATTCAGGTAAGCATTTACTAAGTCATGTTATTTTATCGGTTTAATATGGTAAGAATCAATAATCTTATTTGGTAAGAGCGAGGTAAGGAACAAGTGTCTTACCCGACAACCGAGGACGATGACTTTTACCACGGTTAGTACTTACCGGGTAAATTGTTGCATATGATGCCGTTTCTTTAAATGATATCAGGTAAGTGTTTGGTAAACGACCCTGACTCATGGTTTTAAAATGAGTTATGATAGAGGGAGTATCAATTCCTTATAAGACATTATTCGTTCCCTTTCCCAACCGATGTGAAGTCTCATATATACCTTAAAACTATTATTGTTTTGGTCTTATATCGACTAGACTCATTTAAAACCTTGGCTACACTTAGACCATTTCCTTCCAATGTACGTTGGAACCTCCATACTCTTTTTCTAAATAAAAAAAAACGAAAAATGAATTTATATAGTATTAGAGTTAAAATAATTTTAGTAATGATGAAGAGAAGGAAATAAGAGTGAAAATGTTGAAATTTGAAAAGCATGAAAGATGTTTGTAATTTGAAGTCAAATTCAATAATTGGATTTGAAAATTTAGAATTGATTTCCTTGTGAAGCTTTTTGACTTTGAATGGGAAAACTAAATGTATAACTTAGAAAAAACCTTTGAAATTCCATCCATTCAAAAATAAGATATCAATGTGTTTATTTAAATACATTTCTGTTTCACCAAATGGTAAATAATCACCCATTTATAAAAATATCTATATTTGATTATTAATATTTTTTAAATTATTTTATCAGTAAATAAATATTAATGTTTTGAACAACTTATGTAAAATTATCTTAATCACATTCTTTTGAAAATGTAACTGTCGTATAAAAATCAAATTTATTCGTGTACAACTTCAAAAGGTGAAAGAATATCCGTGTTTCGACCAATCATAGATTATTTTATTGTTGATACAAGAAACGGTAACAATTTTATCTTCCTTTTTCATCTTGCACTCGATGTAGTTTCACTTTAATTTCTTGTGACCATCATAAAGAGAGTTAACAAATTATGAAGGTAGTTTCAAACAAACTTACTAATAAAAAAAGCAGTGCAAAAATAGAGTTTACATTGGTTTGGACGAGTGTTGTATAATTACACTACAAGATTTGTTGCAATGAATTCTAATATAATTCCTAGAATTTTGACAAACACAAATTAACTTATGTTTTGATGTTATTTAAAAAAACCCTGTTTGAATAGATAAAAAGTAGGTCGTAAATTGCAAGCCGGTCAACTTATGAATTAATAAACAATACTTTTGACAAAATGTTTTACCGGTCAATTTACGGATTCATTGGTTATAAATGCATATTTTAGGAAGATTTTGGGGTCTTTTAAAATATATTCAAAGTCAATGATATGATGCTCTTGGGTTTTGACTATATTAAATCACAATGGGTGTATATATATATATATATATATATATATATATATATATATATATATACTTGTTGAGTTTATGTGAGATCAATTTGTTTTCGTGTGATCACATTATATACTTGAAACTTCACAATAAAACACAGTGAGTAAAAAAAAAATCTTAACTTTTACAGCAAAACGCTGTGAAGATTACTTTCATGGTGTTTTGTTGTGAAGTTTCAAGTGTAAAAGAATGGTCTCATGCAAACAAACTATTCTCACGTGGCTCTCTCTCTCTCTTTCTCTCTCTCTCTCTCTCTCTCTCTCTCTCTCTATATATATATATATATCTATACTATATTATAAAGCATTTGACAAAAACTTTTAAAAACTACTTTTTATGCGTAAAGTATTATTTATTAATGCATATTACTTAAACTCAAGATTACAATTAGATTGTGTGTAAGTACAACTTATTAAAGCTCCATATCTGAATTCGTGTAACTAATTGCAGATAAACATTATCAAATAAAAGATAAACATCTTATTTTAAATATAAAAAATCTAAAATATAATTAGGATAATCATTGAGTTCTAACAGAATACTTAATTATTATCTTTATAAAATGTTATATAATTAAACCAAAAATAAATTATTTCATTATTAAACTTAAATTAAATTATAATAAAAAAATAAATTACATAAAAAATGAAAACTTTTAAATACTTGATTTGACATTAACATTGATATATATTTTTAAAATTTTTTATGATATCTTCAAATTTATATTTTAAATATAAAAAATCTAAAACATAATTATGATAATCATTGATAACTAACAGAATTTAATTAAAAAAATTACACCAAAACACAAGAACTTTTAAAAAGATTAATTTAATACTGATATCAAATTTTTTTTTAAAAATTTATGATATTTTTAAATTTATATTTTATTCAAAAATAAAAATATTACCACTTTCTCAAAACTACATAAAACCAACGTTTACTTAAAATTTAAGATTACAAGTAAATTATACAAAAGTACAACTTATCAAAGCTCGATTTTTGAATTCGTATAACTAATTGCGGATAAATTTAATCAAATATAGGATAAACATCTTATTTTAAATATAAAAAATCTAAAATATAATTAGGATAATYATCGAGTTCTAACAAAATAATTAATTATTATCTTTATAAGAAAATTATATTATTGAACCAAATATAAATTACTTCATTATTGTACCTAAATTAAATTATAATAAAAAATTAAACTAAAAAATTACACAAAAAATGAGGAATTTTAAATAGTTAATTTGATATTAATATCGATATATTTTTGTCAAATTTTTATGATATCTTCAAACAAATATTTTATTCAAAAACAAAAAAATATCGTTTTCTCAAAATCACATAAAGCCATATTATAACATCGACTGAGATAAAGAATAAAATGAAATATTAAAATCACGATGTATCTCGCTGCATTGCGCGAGTACGCTTCTAGTGTGTGTGTGTGTGTATATATATATATATATATATATATTATTTGAGTTTGAGTTTGAAAAAGTGGGTTGACTTATGAGAGCATCTTCAACAGATTTCTCAAAATTTATTTAAAATAAAGAATTAAAAATTAAAATCATTAAGAAGAATTACATTTAACTTCAACAGTTTCTCTATTTTAGAGGTTACAACATTAATTATATTATTAAAATATTCAATCTAATTAATAAAAATTGTTCTCTTTTTAAGCATTTCCTTTCAAAGATTCTGATTGGTAAGAAGAATAAAAATAATTTTTCTTTTTTAAGTAGACATTTTTTGAGAGTTTTACAAATTTAAAGAATTTATCTCATCCTATTTTATTCATTTTGGAGAAGGTTTTAAATAATCTGTTGTAACAAAATTCACAAAACTTTAATTTTAAATAATCTAATGTAACAAAATCCATAAAATTTTAATTTTACAGAATCTGTTGAAGATACTGTTATAAGATAGACTACAAATCGTTCTTATAAAAAGAAAGAAAAACTTATGAAATAAATTTCAAGATGCTAAAAATTCCTTTGTGATTACGGAGGTTTAAATATTGTGATTCTAAGTTACCCACAAATAAGTGGTCGTCTTGCGATTAGTCGACTCGCATAATGGGTTGTATATCTAGGTTAATAAAAAAATAATAAAAAGACAAAAAATATAATTAAAGTTGAAAAGAAACCAAAACAATTAAGTTTGGGCCTTTGATTTTGTTCAAAAAGTCCAGCCCAAAAAAAAATCTGGGCCAAGTTGTTTAAAATAGTTTTCATAAAAAATAATATAATTTATTAAGAAAATCAAAATATAATTGTTATATATAATATAATTAATCAACTGTTTTAACCAATTATTCATATTTTTTCATATTTATTAAAACTACTTCGTGTATATATATATATATATATATATATCCAACTAATATAAAAAAATCATAAAAATGTTAAGATATATTTATTCACTGGATGGTCATTTGATCAACTGAAATTTGATCTGATTTGATCCAATTGTGGTTTGTCAGTTCTAATTGGAACATATGACTTTCTACACATATTAAACTACATAACAGTATAAAATACAGATGCAAACAAACATATGATTTATGTTTAAAAATATATAGATATAGAGATTAAAGAGGGGGAATCTTGTTAGCTAAGAAAACCAAAAGGAGGATATGATATGATTGATAAGAGGAAAGTCTTAGAAGTTCATTGGTTTCAAGATTTGTACTTTACTTTATTTTTTCACCTTTTTTTGACATTTCTACCCTTCTCTCTTTTTAAGGATTTTTTTTATCAAATTTTTTTAAATTGTCTGATATGATATAAGTTTGCATTAAATATTTAGAATTTTACAGTAATCGGTATTGAGCTTGTTTAATTGGTGTGGTGTTTTTGGTTTTGAAACATATGACAAAGTTAGATTCAAATATTTCCAAACAAATGTTATTTGTTTTCAGTTGAATCAAAACAAAATGAATACTATTGTTATAAATTATCTATACTAGAGATGCATATGATCTAGACATTTCAAACCCGTTTTCAGTGAGCAAGAAAAGGCGATGCTTTTAGGCTCGGATCAGGCTTTGGGTTTGAAAAAGAGACCGATCAGGTATTTTAGGTCAGACCTTTTCGGCTATGTCAAGTTTAATCAGGCTTTTCTATGCTTTCTCAGGCCGGGCCAAGCCTAGGCCTGACCCATATTGAAAGTTTAGACTCATTAGACCCGGGTCTTTTAGACCAGTCCTAGCCGGAGTTTTGGATTTAGCTTTTTTTTTTTATACATCTCTATACCATGCAATGCCCTAAGATTTGGATTATTTGCACACATAGGTTGCATGGATGTGATTGGGAATTTTTTTTAAAAAAAATTGGAATAAAAAAGAAAAAAGAAAAAGAAAAAGGAAAAAGGAAAAAGTAAAAGGGTAATATGGTCAACTTTTTATTTGTTTTCCCTCCCCAATCTTCTTTAGGTACCTTTAAAACTCAAGACCATTCTACATTTGGGATCAAATGTTACAAAAAGAAAGACACAAATTCATGAATGATTGATCTAAATTACCTTTATACCCCTTGTCTTAAAGCAATGATCCAATTTATCTTTATAACCCTTGTTTGTTGTAAGAAGCTCGTAATTTCGATAGAAGACAAGTTGTGATATTCATCGATGACATTTATTCAATATATTATCTGTATTTTTTTATAACCATAGTCTTTGTTGCATTTGCTTCAAGCGATATATACACGTCTAAAATAACTACGAAATCGAGAAATTTATCCGATTAAATTTGTTTGAAACGCCAGCTCAACTCGAACGTGTGATCTTCAAATGCAACGATCCAAGCAAGAAACTTTAACGATCCCGATGGTCACAAGATTTCAAGATCTCCAAGCAACTTCTCCCATTCGTGTTTCTTGCTTTGTGATTTCTTGGAACAACAAGTTGTTACATACGCTAATCCCGCGATCACGAAAACCAAAATTACGATACTTAATTCTGCAAAAAAAAAAAAAAGAGATAATCAAATTAAGACCAATTTTGGGTACCAATATACAATTGGATATGAACTCAAATTGCAATCAAGAAAGCATAAAGAAAATAACAGGTTTGACTTTTATGGTCAAACTAGCAAATTTAGGGTTTTAGAATTTACACAAATTATCTACAAATTTCACAAAATTTTAACTTCTAAATTAAATTAAATATATAAAATGCAAAATAAATTTAAATTAAATATATAAATCACAAAAGTCAAGAAATTAAATTTCAAATAAAATTTTAGACTTTGACCTCAAAAGTAAAAGTAAACTCTTGGTTTCTTGAAGACATTACCTTCTCCAATGGATTGAAAACCATCAGAATCCCAAGTCAAATCGAGACCGAAACTATCATCGGATACATACGAACTATACGCGAACGGAATCGAGACGGTTTTTACGACCTCGCAAGAACCGGGCACGTCTGAAGACGATTCCACAACGTAAACATGGTGCTTGTAACCACTTAAACACGGCACTCGTTCGAAAGAATGTGGAAGCTCGACCGAGCAACTCAAATACGTATAGTTTCTAACGACGTGATAGTAACGGAAGGGTGTCGGAAGAAGGTCAAGATTCAAGAACACTTGGAAAACACAATCTTTCGGGTCGATGAGGGTGAGTTTCTTGGGTTCATAAGAGATGGATTTCACAATCAAGTCGCCGTAACCAGGAAAACTGATTAGGGTTTGGTTGTATTCACAGGAGGAATTGATTTTGAATGGAAAATGGATATGGGGTTTATCATGATTGCAGACATCAAAGGTGAATTTGGCATCAATAAACTCCATGGATATGAAGATGAAGAAGATGAAGATGAAGAAGTTGCAGGTCTTCATTGAAGAAGATGATGAAAAAAGGATGAATTTGGCAGAGAGAACTGAACTTGTATTTTAGTTAGAGTTGTTGAAATGTCAATTGTCAATCTTGGGAGACTTGTTGAACTGTTTTTTATGGAAAGACTGAGTCAAGAACAAGATTACAACTTTTAATGCATAAAGTATAAATGGATGATAATGGAGAAAAGTACATTTTTCTTTATTGGGTTTGTTTACTTAGTGCAGTAAACAATAGAAATGGTCAAGGTTTGGTATTTTGACTAGACATGACGGGATTGGACACGACTACTAAGAGCATATCTATTCCTTCTCGTGCATCGTTTAATTGAATTTTGTAAGTGAATTTTTTTTTTTGGTATAAAAGATGCACCCGTTAAACCTTGAGTGGTGCTATGAGATATTAGACAGTACAAGAAACATCAAAATAAACAACCGAAGAAGTCTTTTGAAATCAACAAAAAATATAAAATCTCTCTCAAAACGGTGGAATTCAGCTAAAAATTCATCAAATGACTTTACGGGTCTTTGATCCACTTTAAAGCTGCACCAAGCCACCAACTATGAAAAAACCTTGGGTCCGCCACCGACTACTAGACTTAGAGGTGGACCCACTATGGTGCGTACGATGGCAAGAGTTATCGTTTTGTTTTTTCATCTTAGTTTAAAGTATTTAGAATCATGAAAGGTGTCCTCGTATTTTTACTAGAAGGGACGCGTTTCACATTTGCCACACCTCTTGTTTTTATGGGACATAAAAAGAATACATTTCTGTTCTACTCAGTCATATCTATCCTTCGTCTAATTGTTATACCAAACGTGAAACAGTAAGTTTATGATTTCTTCTGTTCAATTTTATATGACCACCACACTAATCCCAGTATAAAAAAGAGTTTAAAAAGGATTATATATAATTTATAATTTATGTCATATGGAGGAAATTTCATGTGGAATGCTTGCCACAACCATTTTCCAAATGACATTTGGACCACTGATTTAAAATCTTCTCACTTCACCTAAAAACTAGGGAATTGTATTGGTTGACTTGTGGTCAACAAACGGACCCACTTTTATTTTTGTATATTATTTAAATTAAATAAAAAAATGTCAATTATATAAATAAATTAAATCAAAACAAATTTGACAAGTCCTATATGAACTTGGGCCATTACAATTATTAATTGTTTCAAAAAATTAGAGAATAAAACCTTTATTTTATCAAAAAAATCTATTAAAGTTGCTCTAGAAATTTAGTTGAATTTTGAGTAAAAACCATCAATAACAAAAAGATGGTTAAAATCAAACCACAACCAAGTAAAACGAATATGTAATAGCTTTTACTCTGAAGAAATGTATGCAAATGATGGGTTGTATACATACATACATACGACCTGTAAAAAGTGTTTGAAAACAGAGAGACGGATCAAAGAAACAAAACCCGTATTCGTTAAGGGTGTGCAACTAATTAAAACCAACCGACCAATATTGGATGGGATCCAAAATTTCAACATCCAAATTGGATCTTTCGGTTACTGGATGACAACCCAAAATCTAATAAAGCCGAACTGATTCATTCCAAATACACATCCAACTATGATAATATAAGCAAACACTTTTCTTGAATAAGATGTCACTCAAACCTTGCAACTTTTCTTAATCATATGACACAAAATGTGTTACAGATTGATCATACACATAGATATTGTATTTGTAGCAAACAAAGAGGCACTCAAGAATCAAGAAACCTATTTTCTTGAAAAATCTATACAATACTAAACTATAAGAATTACCACCCAATGTCGAAAGGCGAACACACGAAGAACAAAAATTAGAGTTAAAGGGCATCTTTCGCTAGTCTCATTGGCCGGTCCTGCAAGAACGCTACATCGCTGTTCGGTTCAGTCAATAGATGATGATCTACTTCCTCCTCTTCACTCCCCATTGTTAAAGATGAACTGCCAGAACTCGACCCCCCATCTGTTTCAACAACAATTTTCACTACAAATTGAACTGCGAAAACCAAAACCAAATGAACCCAATATATCCCACCAGAAAGTAGGGTCGGGAATGAGATGTACACAGATGATAGGCCTAGGGGGGGTCTTAACTCTCTATCGTGTCGACGTGGAAATATTGGGAAATTGTCCAAAATTGCCATCATGGACACTCTAATTCATTTTATGGCCGATATTCTAATCAATTGACCGAAATAGCCAAAATTTCGCAAGTAACACTTTAGCAACTTAGTAAATCTACTTTTCAAGAATATTATATTCATACACTTTAGCAAGTTGTTTAAGTGCTACTTGCGAAATGATGAAGTGGCAAGTAGCACTTTAGCAAGTTGCGTAAGTGGCACTTTCCACATCAACATTTCACTAGTAGCACTTTAGCTACTTGCAAATTCGATTTTTTTTGAATTTAATATTCATACTTATAGCAAGTAGCTAAAGTGCTACTTGCAAAATGCTTACGTGGCAAGGACCACTTTAACAACTTGCGTAGGGTAGGGGCCACTTTCACGTCAGTAAAGAATGGAAAAAAGGGGAAAACCACTTGTCATTTTTGATGAGACCGTATCTTTTATAATTAATTTTCGTTTTATTTTATACTATGCTAACTATTTTGTGCTTTACTTGGAATTTCTTTTGGATCTGCGGTAGAGGGGCTGTTTCCGTGAAATTGCACTACATAATGCACTCATATAAAAATAACATAATTACAAAAAGGTGATGAATCAAAGCAGACAGCAAGCCGATACTAACCGGAATATGTTGCATGATCAGGTAGATGTCTAACAGCTGCAACTTCAATATTTTCTGGTAGCAAACAGTTGCAGTAAGAACCTGTTCATTAAAATTATGAAATATTTAATACAATAACTGAAGTTAATATATGTTGATTGATGAATTGTTTTTTATTAGAATTATGAAATACTTAATACGCTAGCTAACTTTGTGGGGCTTATTTCGTTAAATGACCTCCTCACCATTGCTTTTTAAATTTACGACCTTCTGACAGGTTTCTAGGCATTCTTGTGTATAGAAGTGACCTTCTCAAACTTGTCGAAAGGTCATGGAATTAAAAAGAACTGTAGGAAGGTCATTTAACCAATTGGCCCGTCTTAAAAGTCATCAACTCAACCAAATACCTAATAGGGGATATTTTTTTCTTACCGACTTTAGCCAAACGGTTGACCCATCCAGGGATTGGTTTTCCGGTCAACCGCATGCATACTTCGTTAGTAAAATGATTGCAGTTTTTGGCAATCAAATGATAAGTATCACCATGATATTTATTAGAAAGATGCTCCATGAATGTTCGAAATTCCGTAGGAGACATGTCAGTGCTGCCCAATGGAATGGACCGCCGGAAGATAAAACCCGGGCAACTTTTCGGTTCCACCTCAAACACCCCACTGGTCGAGTACTCATGGGCTCCAAATGCATATTCCATGTCATATACTGATAATCATATGAAAAACCAAACATATTATTCAATTAAGATCAAAGACCAAAGACTTTTATTACTGAAACGTAAAGTAACGTCAGAAAGTAACAAGCTTTTAATTCTTCGCTCAAGAAAAGATTCTTTGCAGCTCAAAGTTAAGCTCAATCTGAAATTCGAACACCTTTCATTCCTCCTCACTCAAGCAAAAAAACTTGGCTTGAAAGCAAACGACGATTTTACCCTTGAAACAAATCTTTGATGATGATACAGCATAAACACTTATATTCTCCCTTCACCCCAAAAATAAAGGTCCACGGTGAAAGAGGCACACAGTTTTAGAAATGTGTAATTTTTACACTTTTCGATTAACTAAATGACAATTTTACCCTTAATAAAAGAGGAAGTAAGGAGTTATACCATCTCATAATTAAGAGTAGAACCGGAAAGTAGGCACTTACTTTTGAAAATAATGTGAGTATGCTAAATATTTATGCAAATATGCATATGCATATGCATATGTGTATAGGTGTCTCTCATGGTTAATAGTGCTTAAAGACACAAAGCTTTGTCTAATAATCGACGTGTCTAAAGTCTCTTATAAATCCCCTTCAAGTATGACAAGTGTGTATGCCTGCTTAAGAATACAGATTCCTTTTATCGTCTACAAATATTCGTATGAATGTATTGAGAAGTTTGACGAGAATGTGATGATTATCATATGCATCCACAAAAATTCCAAGCAGGGGCACATAATATAAAATAAAACAAAATTTAATCATAAAAAGTACAGTCAAAATCAAGCGTTCTGGGAACTAGTTACATCCAATAACATACTTATGCTTCTAACTAAACCTACTTATACCTCCTTAGGGTTGGGTTCCGGTGAGAAAGGAAGTTATGGTGAGAAGCGTAAGAAGAGATCTCCACCCTTGGATCAATCTTAATTGAATGTCAACACTAATGAGGTGCATTGAGATGCACCGGATCAATTCCCTTCTAAAGCACAATTCATGGGTGGGCATGAGATTAAAAGTGATCAAGGGTTCAGGTCTCTTCTTACGCTACTCACCATAACTTCCCTTCTTACACAATCCTTCGCCTACCTCCATATATATATATATATATATATATATATATATATATATATCAGTGCGAAGGTGAATGTTAAGAAAACTCCTACTAGTTAGCAGCTTACTCAAGTTGAAAGCCAAGTACTTGTAAGCCTCAGGTATATGGAAAGGCATAGAGGTAATAATAGATTTAGTTCAGAAGCATAGATATATGTATGGATGTAACTACCTTCCATTAAAATCTGATGATATATATGAAAAATGATTCATCAAGAAATGATGTTCCTTAAGTTAAATTGATCAGATTGCAAAGTTTAAGTTGTTACATGATTATATGGTGGTAAGCTAGTGAATACAGAGCAGGGTGCTTCAGGTATCAGAGCCAGGATTTAAACCTTAGGTTGGCCATGAGTGACACCAAACCTACACATCCATCTCCTGCAAAGTAAGCGAAACAATGGGGCAGCAGTGGTGCCACAACACCACTAACCACCGCTGCCATGGCAGCTTGTGCCTAACCGAGTCCAAAGTGCAATATATTTTACCAACTTCAATTATGGAATCATCTCGTTATCTAAAACAAAGACCATCACATTAAAATTACAAGGTAATTGATATTACACCAGCATCAGATGGACTTTTCAGCCAAAAACAAGCACCGTCACCACTGCTACTAGGTTAACCAATACGGACATCGAGCTGCGATTCAACCAACCCTTAACGTGAAATTGACTAAAAAACACTATATAAGGGCCTATTTGTTAGCAACTTAATGAGCTTAATAGGACTCGGAACTTATTTGGTAAGTTATACATGACTATTTGATGGTGACTTAATGATATAGAAAGTGGTAAGCTTCTAGGGGGAAGCTTTATACAGAAAGCCAAGTTTTTTCCAAACTTGTCCCTCACGATTAAAAAAGACGCTAATTCCATCTATGAAAAAAGCCTCCCAAACAAAAATCTTCCAAATCTATAATGACAGATTAGTCCACACAAACAGTTTTATCCATACAGGACTCAAATGGAAAAGCAACCAAGCAGCCCCTAAGTCTTTAACACGATTAATTTAAGAAGAATAACATTAGTACCTTCGGATTCTTGCAACAAACCCTCATAAAAACTCATTAAACCCTCAAGCATGCAATTTTTGCTTTGAGTTCTTAGGGCTTTCAGTTCTGAGACCTGGCTTCTATTTATACTAGAACATGATGATATGTCAAGAATAATCAACTAATCATAGTCCGTTTCCTCCATGAAAGCACCACTGCAATTGGTGCCCTCCCTTTTCTAAAAAATTATAAAACATACACTACATTTCTTTTCCCAACTAAAGCATTCAGCCCCTTGAGTACATTTCTCTTGATCTTATTGGTTTTTCAGTTTTTATCTTTGACGTAAATTTTATAAATAAGATATCTATTATTTTAAGACCATCTGTCTCATGCTTTCCTTTTTTTAAACATTTGAATTGCAAGCTAGGGGTTTTCACGGAAACAACCTCTTTACCATTGAGGTAGGGGTATGGTCAGCATAAATCCTACCCTCAAGACCATACCTCCGAGTGGAATATATTGGGTAGATGTGATATGGTGTCTATTTATTTAAGAGCTCAAAAGTAGGAACTATACAAAAATCACTATAACTAAATTTGTGTAGTACTTTGTTCATCTGGAGTCTGCCTTTTCTATTGAATCTATAGTCTATCCTATACAAACCACATCCACTTCTTAAGGCCTAGCAGGCATGGAACATGCAAGGATAGGATGAAAATTTCTTACTTCGTGAGGCTAAGCAGCTTACATGCAGCGAGTTTTGGGTCAACGCAAAACACCGATACACAGGCTTCATGCTGAAAACTGAACAAGGTAAGTAACAGCATCAACTAGTAGGAAGATCTAAGCACATAATCAAGATATTATGGATGTCATTCTCTCACACTTGTAAATACAATTAAGTACTGTACAATGTTGAGCAATAGTGCCATTCCAAAATTCACACTAGAATCACTTCACAAATCACAAGAATCTAAAACAGTCAAACAACACTGATGAATTGGATTCCTAGTCAATAATACTGCCATGAATAGATAAATTGACCCATCTATGGAGGTTTGCAAGCTTCTTTATTCAGCAAAAGCAAACTTGAGCAGGTTTCATATGAATACAGACTACAGAGCTTTGAAACTAACCCACTCACCAATTTATAGAAGCATATAAATATAAGGAAAATCTATAGCAACCATCAAAGTTACTATCGAGGTCGCCACAATTCTTTTAGGTAGACAACAAAAGGCAAGGGAATACAGGTCCTCTCTCTGCAGTACAGTCTCTATCCTTCTTCAGAGAAGAAAGATAATCTACAATTGAAGAAATCTATTTGCTTAGTCTAGGCCTTTAGATAGCACTTCTTGCTTAAACCGGAAGTTTTATACTAAACCCACTTATTCTTATCCCCCTGTGGCTGCCTTCGCTTTCCCATAATCACAGGCCCAATAGGCATAAAATGGTGTGTTTTGTGGTAACATTGGCAGTTGCCATAGATTCAATCATAAATATAACCTCTTGCTTGACTATTTTGAGATTCCTTTTGTGTCTTAATGCCATAACTTAAGTCCACATTTTTTTGGGTAATCTCATTAAACATGGCCAACCACCACAAACTATCACAGTCACTATAGACCTCTTCTGATTATATTTGCATCTCACAAATGACTAATCGACTATACTGAAACCCTACACTTCTCAAGAATAGAATACTGAAATAGGAAATGTTGTATCCAAGTAACTACTTAATTAAGGAAACCTAGAACGATGTTATTTGATGTACCAAACATTAAAAAATGAAACTTATAACAATAAGTGTCATGTATGAACAAGTACCAAATTCCCATAGAAAGATACGCATTCATTATGCACCAAAAGGATAAAAAATACTACTTTTTGCTAATTATGTTCACCTTTCAACTTCATTATTAAAATGAATTCTAGAAGTACTAGAGACTCTGATAGCAACATCCAAAATCAATTGCAACTATCACAATTGGGAATAGAATATGCAAGACATTCAATTCAAACAAGAATAAATCTTTTTCATTAGCAATATAGAATATGTGTACCTTCTATACCAGTATGGAAAATTCCGAAGCCCAACCAATAGAGGTAGTTATTAACAGGGGTAAGATCATATACATTAAGATACAATAAAGCATGATCACTTCCTCCATTTCTAAGCTCTTTCGACGAATTCATCGGAAACAGCCGCATTGTTTCCCCTTTTTATCTGTAAACACACACTTTGCCCCTCTGCAGACCTCACAATTCTTTCTCCAGTGAAGATTATCCTTGTAAACCCTAAACTCAACCCTACAAAACCCTAAATAACAAAAAACAAAATCAAAAGCTGAGAAATGAAGAAACTAAAGAGGTATCAAGATCTAATACAGCAAATCGAAACCATAAAAGAGACAATCTTAATACACTCGTACATCGATTTGAGCTATAATTTGAATCCCTCGGAGTTCGGATGGGAGAGAGAGAGAGAGAGAGAGAGAGAGAGAGTTGTGTGTCTGTGTGTGAGAAAATAACAAGAAATTAATTATTAGATCATTTAATTATACGGTTATAAAACATGTAATAATATTAGTGTAAATTACGGATTTGGTCCTTTGGTTTTAAGTTTGTCTTGAGTTTGGTCTCCAAAGATTTTTTATTTCAAAATAGCCTTTAAAGTTTGTACTTATGTAACGTTTTGGCTCTTGTCGCTAACGGTTAATGTTTCAACCAGTTACCTGGGTACTTAAATGTTTAAAATTTTACATCTTAGCTACCAAAATATAAGTTTTAAAAGTATGTTACCCAAAACAGGAATCAGGATAAAGTACGTTGTTTTTTCATGTAATTTGCCTTGTTTTTTATATAATTAATAATACTCTCAAAACAAACACTCGGGAAAGATTTAGAGGACATGTGATCAAATAAGGAGGAAAAGGATGAGGATAATTGTCCCAAAAATGGTTCCATTATCATACACCATTTGTAAAGGAAAATGCAAAACCCAAATCTTGAAGGCATTTGTCTTGAGATATCAACTAGGGTTGTACAGAGACTTTAGTTTCAAAACTGTTTGCTTCTAATTCTTCCGACACTTGAAAAGGGGTTAACGGGATCTGGGTTGTGTGATGGTGAAGGGGATTTCATTGGTGGGTGGAGATGCATGCACTTATAAATCGAAGAAGAAAGAGAGCGTGTGTAAGTTCATCGAAGATGGAGGCTTGAGAACATTTACTGGATATGGGACATAAGGAGATCCGATAGGACAGATGGCCAATGATTGCATCGAAGAAAAGAAAACAGTACAACTCTGTTCAAGGTTTTTTTTGTCTTTGGTACAGTGCAACAATGACAGGAAAGGTTGGAGGCGGGCATCATTTTTCGGATATTGTAAAAGGAGTGGAGATGGCATCGGATAAAGGGTTAACTTAGAAGGGGAGTGTTAGAGAAGGGATAAGGAAAAGGATGGGCATTGTGGGTAATGAATATCTTTTGACTGTTTTAAATGAGAAAACAACCAAAAAATGACGAAGGACCAAAATGCCCCTCAATTAACGAATCAATTAACCGCTGTTAGTGGCAGGTACCAAAACGTTACAAAAATTCAAACTCTCATGGCTATCTTGGAATAAAGAACTTCGGGGACAAAATCCACTATAGATTTAAAACTATAGGGTCCAAATCCGTAACCTACTCATAATATTATCTCAATGTACTTATAATTATTTGATATTGTAGTATTTAATTATTTTATCAATATTATAAAATTTAAAAATATGTCTACTTTGCAATCTTAAGATCGCCATGGCAACGAGGCGGGTTTTGTAATTTCCAACTCCGGTTTTTAGTAACAGCCCCTGGCTCCGGCTTCCGGCGTGTACAGGGATTAACATCTCATCCCCAGTTAAACCCCATGAAGAATATCCGTTAGTTTGAGTCTACCGGGGATCCCCAGCCACGAGATCCATTTTAGCTGGGAATCCCCGTTTCAGGTCGAATAAGTAGGGTTTCTCACCGGGTCAGGCCAAATCACCATCCTTATCTTAAGATGCTGAAAAATGAATTGTTTGATTTTCTTTTGTAATGACAAAAGATTATTGCGGAGGAAAAACAGATTTTTGTATATTTCCATTAGCAAGAGTATATTCTCTTTCAATAGTATTTAAATAATTTTGAAGATAAGTATAACAAAACCATGGAACAAAATATATAATTTTGATTAACTCATGATTTAACCAGTATAGTAGCCAGGACTATATATATTTGTCTTCTTCATCTAAAGATTGTTTAACAGAGATTTAGCCTGTCATTTAGGCTAAATTCCTCTTAAACAAATATAAACCAAATATAAAATAAAGTAAAGTAAGAATACTTACAAAGAAAGAAGAAGAGACAATTATTTTGACATGTTATCAATTTATGTCATAATAATACATAATTTATTTTCAAAATGTATGATATATTAAAAAAACTATACGATATATAATATTAATCAAATTAAATATTATATTATATTTACAACCTTATAAAAACCAGTTCACTTTCATCCTCTTTTGTTTTTTTATGATACAATAATGTTCGAACTAAGTATAAAATGGGTCGGAATGATGGATTGATGGATGTGGACGCATATACAAGATATGTGGTTCGTGTTAATGGAAGACTTTCTTACCATAACATAGTTGAATAAAATTGTGTCTTATTGCAACTGCAAAAACGTTTTAAACCAACGACAAATAATTAAAAAATGTTGTATGTTTTAGTATGAAAGAACTGATTTTGATCGAACCTATTAACTAGTATCTTGATTGAACTGCCAAAAAGCACACACAGCATGAACATCTCTCGTCATTAAGGTTTCAACAACCACCTACTTGATGGGGTAAGTATCAATAATGCAAACATATGTCGATTACGGTCCATAATTTCAACAACTAAAAAGTATTAGGGCACGTTCCCTTGTCCCTAAGAGAAGTCCCGACCTCTTTTTTTTTTTTTTTGATCAACCTGGATATCCAACCCGCTAACCGAGCCAACTAATCCCAAGGCGACTACCTGCTTTGCAGATAGTCCGAAGTCACCGCATTTGAACCTCCGTGGTTAGAAGGAGATTTTTATTCCTCTTTGGATTTGAACCTGAGACATCCTAGTACTTTTTGACCATTGGAGTCAAGCTCAAACCAATCAGGCACCGCCTTTGTGGTTAGTCCCGACCTCTTTTGTTATTAATGGCAACCAATTAACATGGTGTTAGGACCAAACTATATAAAACATAAAATAAACAAATAAACAACCAAATTACACAATAAGATCGAAGAAACTAAAAGTCGTGTATTTTTTTAATGAAAAATCTCGAATTTGAGTATAGATAAAACAGACAGAGGTCTGAGAATTGCAGTGTCCTAACTCATAAGACGAAATTTCGTCCTCAATCGTGTTTCGTTTCGGACGTTGCCTAGAGGATACAACTATTTTATTGAACTAATAATATGTTCTTGATAAAAACATGAAAATTTCTTAAAATAAACGACTTCAAAATATACCTAGACTGTTTCCTTTTCCTTCGACTACCGGCCACTACAATAATATCAGCCTTATAAGACGTTAAATATGAAATGTCTTAATAAACTACTTTCTACAACATAAGCTAATTTATATGACCAAATAATTGTGTATCTTATGTAAAAGTTGTATAATAACTTGGTATGACACTTTTAGAAGTTTTAATAAGTTGTTTACGATATTCTTAAAATAAAATATCATATAGAAATTATTTTTACATGTCATTATTTGCGAATTCAGGGTCAAAACCGTGTCTTCACCGTTCTCCTTTGTTCTTTTCAACAATTCGTTAACATTAATTGAATATTTGGTAGAAAATACGTCAAAATCGATAATGAGCAGTTGAAAGTGGAAACCCCAACTCGACCTCACAACGAATTTCTCCAACTCGTTCCTTGTTCAATTTTCGTGGTTGATGACATATCTTATCTAATAATGGTTGATGACAATCACATCGTTTTCGTGTTTTTATGGTTGCAAGATGTACGTGTGGGAGATTTCAAAACTTTTGGGGGTCTAGCAATGCAAGTTCTTGAGCATGGACAAATCCAGAATTTTTTTCAAACGGTGACACCATTTAACTATAAGAAAAAATATAGGGGAAAATTTTCAAACGGTGACACCGTTTGATTATAAGAAACAAATATAAGTAATTTTTTTCAAACGATGACACCATTTGAAAAAGAAAATGATAGTAACAAGATTTGAACTTGGATCTGGAGTGGGATACAAGCTTTGTAAACCAACTCTACCAAATAAAATTTGTTTTCATTATAGTTTCAAAATACATACGGTAATACACAACAAATTAATACGGTTGCACCTAACTTATTTTACCATTTGACAAAATAATAATACGGTGACACGTGCCATCATATACACCACTATAAATCCGTTCCTGCTTTTGGAGTTTATTATTCTTCCATTCGATCTGTGAATCGTCTACTTCAATTTCATATGCTGACAATATTTTCCTTTGTATTTGATTTTGCTCCAGTTTTTGTTCACACTTGTATTTGGAGCAATGATATATACGATGTGGACATCATTTTTTATATAAATAAAACTAATTAATTAAAAATATATTTGAAATATTAGAGTAATTTCACATATTATACTTAACATGCTTTAATTGATAATTATATTAATTTCGTTAAAATCATATTTTAATTTCCTTTTCAAATAATATAGACCCGTATTACTCCATGTCATATTATTTTTGTAAAGTACACGTGGTTTGTCAAAAAATAACACTTTTAGTTTTTACAGTTTTGAAATTATAATATGACAATTATAGCTTGTAAAAATGTCTATGTTTAACCCCTCCCTCTAATTTACATTTACATTTTCTATAATGGAAAAATATGAAAGATTCAATTTTATCTATACTAATTTTTTATTTTAAAGCACATTAAACCAACAAAAGTTCATCTATTTTCAGGGGATGGAAATTTTCACCCTTGAATCAATTCTGATTAAATATCAATATAAATGAGGTGGAGCGACCATCAAGATGCATCAGATCAATTTAATTATAAAACACAGTTCATAGATGAACATGATAGTACAAATGATCAAAGATTCAAATTTTTTTATTACTCTTTTCATCATAATTTTCCTCTTGTTTAGTGTGTGTGTATATATATGTGTGTGGAGTTTCAAATGAGAACACCTTTATTTTATGAGAATGTGAAAACATCCTTATAATATGTGATAATACGCATGAAAGGACCCTGTGATTAGTGGACGATATGTTCTATGACTTAGGTCGCGCCAAATGATGTATGCGTCTATGATTTAGCATCACATGTGATGGTCTTGATGAATTATAGTATCATATCAACAACACCCTTATCACATGTAATAATACTTGTGAGGGGGCTTAGTGGTGTAAGGGCGACTTGGCTCTCAACCAATATCACATCGAAATCGTCTGTGTCTCTGATTTAGTATCACATGTGATTGTTTATAGTAAATTAGTGTTCTTGTAAAATGAAAGTGTTCTCGTTTGAACAATTCCATATATATATATATATATGATATATTTCAAATGCAACCATGTTCATTTGTACAACCAATACAACCCAATTAATTGACATATTCGTGAAAATGATGGGAGTTCATTTATTATGATTTGAATATTTACGAAAGATGACTAAAGTTCTTTAATTATAATCAATGTTTTATATTATAAAACAATCAAAACTTTTATAAAATTACATATTCATTAAATTAAATTAACAATTAAAATTAAATTATATTAATTATACAAATATAAATGATTACATAATAACTCATCCCCTTATATATACATATGAGAATTGGTCTGTGTTAATAACGGGATTTAGTGGCACGTTCACATGATCTTCACTCTTGAGGCGAATGCTGCGACAGGTAAATAATTAATTTAGTCAAAATGTAAATTGTTGACTAGACCAAGTCAAGAACGAAAAGTCAAAATAAATTGATGCAATTCACATGCTTTTCAGAATAAAAGTCAATGTCATAATTGACTAAACCATTTTCTTCTCGAAACTAAAATTATTGATTTTAGATAAATAATCTCATTTTAAGTAAAAGTAGATTAAAAATAAAAATTATTAACAATGTCTAAGATGTTATTTGTTTATCATTTAATAGTTTTATTAATAGACAATTTCTAAATCATCGAGAGATGAATCTTGTTTGCTAGAAAAAAAGTCTGCATATTAATAGTTTTAAACTCTCTGAATAATTTTATATTATGGGTCTCCTTTAACCATTCAACACCCTAATTTCATTGTAAGTAATTATCATACAATTATATTTCATTTTTCACTATATCATAAGCCTATTAATCATTCTGACCACTTAATCAATATGTACCAAAACAATTGCTCCTTATTTTTGTTGTTATTCACAATTCTGCTTTCTAAAATTTATTAAACCATTTTTCTGTTATATCAACTAAATTTTAGTCCACATTATGTTTGAGTTTAAGAACCCTATTATATATCCACCTTCATATCATGTCATATAGATATAAACCGAATACAACTAAAAATAATTATATATATATATATATGTGTGTGTGTGTTATTGTGATTTGTAGCCGTTATGAATATTCTATGAACAACTTGACAACCAGATTTTTTTGATAAGACCTCAATGTCTGTTATTAGCTTTTGAACAAACCTTGACTAATTATGATGAATGGTTTTAAGTTTGAATAATGACCAGTAGCTAAAGCAGAAATTACTAATGTGAATTTTGGTCTTTAAGAAAAATCTACGTCTTTTTAATAGGTCCCAACTAAGACCGATTGGAAACCCGACAAAGAAAGAGGGGTTGAGTTATAACAAGTACACCGAATGATGGTTACGAAACATGCATATGTCGATTTTAGAATATTCTTAGAATTTCATTTAATATACTTGAAAAACAAATTATTGAAAAGACTAAATTTATTTCATATCCTTCGCATATAATGCAAGCATGGTTTCATAAACGTAACTTTTTAATTTGTAACACCAGTTTTGCGTTCTTTGGATTCTAACGTGATTTAAAATATTATTGTAAATTATAAAATAAGAATAACAACTAAATATAATTTCTCCCTAAAAAATACAACGTTTATGTATGAATAATATATATATATATATATATATGTGGTATATTTCAAATGCAACCATATTCATTTGTACAACCAATGTAACCCAATCAATTGAGATATTTATGAAAATGATGAGAGTTCATTTATTATAATTTGAATAATTTATGGAAGATGACTAAATTTTATTAATTATGATTAATACTTTATATTATGAAATAAACAAAACTTTTATGAAATCACATATTCATCAAATTAAATGGACGGTTGAGATTGAGTTATATTAATTGTACAAATGTAAAGCGTTGTATAATAACTCACCCCCCCTCTCTCTCTCTCTCTCTCTCTCTCTATATATATATATATATATATATATATATATTACAATCACCTGCTATAATACATATGTGTACATAAATGGGCAAATAAACAAACTTTATTTATATTTATTGGAAACACATATGTTATGGGGAAAAATCCAGTATATAAAATATTATTACAATCAGATATATTAGGTGGAGTTTTAAAAATAATACCTCTATTTTATGATAATACGAGAATATCCTTATCACATACAATAATATATATGAGGGACCTAGTGGTATGTGGTGTTCTGCAACCTAGGTGGCGCCAAAGGTCTGATGCATCTCGGATTTAGCTAGTAAACATGTGATGAACTATAGTATTACATCAAGAAACACCATTATCACATGCGATAATACGAGTTACATAATCCGTAATCTAGGTCGTGCCAAAAAGCCGTATGTTTCTGTAATTTAGAATTCATATATAATGAAATTTAATATGATGTATGATTAACTATAGGGAAAAAAAAATGTTTCTGCATTATTTTCTCGTTTGAATCCTTCTCACATCGCAAAATTTGATGAAAACAAATTCTCAACAAAGCATTAAGCTTGTATTAAAGTTTGAAATCGGAATATTTATGTCAAATAAGACAAACAAAATTCGGTTTCATTGAAGGAAACCTCCGATATATGCTACTAACTTTCGTTTTGCATGCTCTAAATAATTTCTACAACGGCAAGGTCGACGGAGGAGAAACACCGCACACGACAGCTCCGATTAACTTCCAGACGGTCATCCAAGTCGACGACGACGGCATCTCTGGATCATCCACGGTCGTATACATCCACCATAAGCTAATTCCTCTCCATCTCCATTACATTTTCTTATCTATTCCTTTTCTGGCCTCCGTCATCCGTCTTCTGCAACTTCGCAACCTCAAGTGGAAAATTGAGAATCGCTTTGCTACCTCGCATCATAAACGCAGTTCTATCGTACGCCTCTGCAGCTTCAATCGCAGTATCAAACGTACCTAACCAAACTCTAGATCCACGGCGTTTTGGATCTCGGATCTCCGCCGCATACTTCCCCCACGGCCTCTGCCTCACGCCTCTGTACTTTCTCTCAGCTTCTCTCCTCGTAGCTGATCGTTCATCAAACTCCTGCCGCGCCTTTCTGGATCTAATTTCAATCGGATTCGAGGATACAAAATCGAGTATTTCAGGTTTTATGACTTCATTTTCCGAAAAATGACCAGTATTAGGGGTTTGATCGTAAGTAGTGGAATGATTAGTGAAATCTGAAGAATCACTGTGAGAGCTTGAAATGGAGCTAGAAGTGGTGCAATGATGGGTGAAGATTTGGTGGATAGGAGATGATTCGAATTCATCGAGAAGGTGTTGCCTGATGAACTCAAGAGCTGCAGCTTCATCAGGTGTGGCCATGGTTGGATTAGGAAAAAGCAAGAGATGTTTATGTATGAAATATATTCTGGAATGGAGTAGAAAGGTGAGTGGGAAGATGTATTTATCATGAAGGAGTCCACAAGATCAATGGAAGGAAGGTTCCAAACCACTTCTCCTTTTTCAAATTGATGTGATATATATGTGTTTTTACTTTTTACCCATAAAAAGAGGAAATTAATACCTGTGTTTTGATGTTTTTTATTAGGTTTTCTATGGTTTCTTAATTATTGTGGTATACAATTTGTCTTGGTCATGATTCTTCTTACTGATATCGTTAAAATAAAAATTCCTTTGTGGTCATGAAGGTTCAAATGCGGTGACTCCAGACTATCTACAAAGCAGGTAATCGTCCTGCGATTAGTCGGTTCGCATAGCGGGTTGGATATCCAGGTTAATAAAAAAAAAATCTGTTAAATCAAGGCCTATTTTTTAATAGAAAAAAGACAAAAAGACTAAAATGGTCATTGATTTAACCGGGTTAATTTTAATAGCGTTAGTCAAAAAAAGACCATGACCAAAACAAATTGAATACAACAAAAATCCAAAACCATAATAAACATAACATATGAATTACCAAAACCATAATTCACTCATGTAAAAATTTAACGGATCAACAATCTCTGTTTGACTTTGACCCGAACCGAACATATATTGATGGGTTCTAATAAGAATTTAGACGAAATAAATAAGACACACCATGGCCCATGGGCCATTTTCAGCCCAACAATAGATCAGACGTCTATGGGACTCGTATCCATATCCCTAATTTTGATAATGGATCTGGGCCCAATATTGAAGATGACATGCTTTGATCTTTTCATTTTCACCACATTTTATATTTTTTTGCTATTTATTATTTTTTAATTTGCAAGATGTAATGTATTTAGACATGCATAAGAAAGCCCAAGCCTGGTCAGGTCAAGTACAAACCAAACCAGAAAAGCTCGGGGGGTTAGGCTTGGTCTAGACCTGGCCTCAAAGTCATATCAGACTGAAATTTTGAGGCAACTTCGTGCCTAGTCCGGACCCAAAAAAGCCCATATAAAAAAGTTTGAAAACCCTCTATATAGCCGGCTTGGAAAAACTTGAAGATGCAATTTTTTCGACCAGACATCTTAACCTGGTTTTAAAAAGCACAAACCTTTTTTATTCACAGAGAACGGGCTTTGAAGACCCGATCCCAAGTCCGAAAACCTCCAATGAACAAGAAATATTGGTAAATGAAATATTATCGATATGATTAGTTCATACAAACTTATATGTATTTTATTGCATAAATGTTTTATACAAAAATTTGAAACAGAATCACTTTATACATATTCTAAAATTCATGATTTATTAAAAAAACTGACTTATTCGAAGGCACTAAAAGATTTGTCTCATAGTTAAACTTTAAGGTTCCAAAAAATTGATTGATATTATACATACCGGACTACCAGATGGTTTGAAAGTATCCACAATTTAAAACTTTTAACTTATGTAGATACTGATATTTAGTAAGAAAATACAAATTATAGATCAATCTAAACCGTTCATCTAGTCTAATGGATATTCAGTTTCATAAGTGTCTCGATTATTTTACAAATTAAAACGTTGATCAAAATGAATTATTCTAATCATCTTGTATAAATATTCAAATTATAATAAATGAACCCTCGTCATTTTCATAGATTTCTAAATTCATTGGTTTATATGAATAATAAAGTTTACAAATGATTAAGACTCGGTATTTTATAATATCATTTCATAAAAATATCTGAATCCAGATTTTAATTATTTATTTGAATGTTAACAAAAATCATCAACTTTTAGAAGGAAATTACGCATACAATTCACAGAAATTATTTGTTTGAAAAATCTTTTTTTCTAATTCATATTTTCTTTCCGGTAAGTACAACCAAATTAGCACAAAGTACAACCCCAAATCCAACGTTAGTAACAATGACGTCAGCCGTCCTCATCACATCTTGCAACTTGCAACATAAATTCACGTGCGTAAAAACCCTCCACCATGGATGACCTTCCAAGAAACCTCCATTTTCTTCATGTCAAACAAAGTTTGGAAACAATAATTATTTTTCTACAAAATTATCCGATTCAGGTGCATGAACCTTTCCTTAATTCCACACCTATATAAATCTTTTCATTCTTCAACTGAAAACCGTCTCAGATTTTGCTCAAAGTACACATAATATCAAATAATTCGATTCGATTTTTATTACTGATTCTTGTTTTGAAAATGATGGGAAATAATGGGTTTGATTCAGATTTTGCTCTTCTTGAGTCTATTCGCCGTCATTTATTAGACGATTCCGCCATTAATTCCGGCATTGGAGCTCCCCCGATGCATTGCCGGAGCACCACCACCTTGTTTCCTTGCTTATCGGAAACTTGGGGTGAATTACCCTTAAAAGAGAATGATTCAGAAGATATGTTAATCGCTCGATTTCTTCACGAAGCTTTGGATTTCGAATGCCTGCCGGCGCCGTCGAACTCCATCGCCAGTGTTAAATCCGAGCCGGAGATTTTGGTGGGATCGCCGGGAGTTTCTAGTTACCAAGGGGAATCGCCGCTGCAGAAAACGGCGGTGCAAGGGGTGGTCGAGCAGAAGGGGAAACATTACAGAGGTGTACGGCGGCGCCCGTGGGGAAAATTCGCGGCGGAGATTCGGGATCCGGCGAAGAACGGTGCTCGGGTGTGGCTGGGGACGTTTGAGACGGCGGAGGACGCGGCGTTTGCGTACGATACGGCGGCGTATAGGATGCGTGGTTCTCGGGCTTTATTAAATTTTCCACTTCGAATTAATTCCGGTGAGCCGGAGCCGGTTCGGATAACTTCAAAAAGAAGGGCAACGTCGCCAGCGAGTTCATCGGAGGATCGATCATCGAAGAGGGGAAAGAGAGTGGAAACAGAGACCCACTTGTAAAATAAGGGTTCCACGTGGCGAATAGCCATTGGTTGACGGAGACAGTGGCGAACCTTTTGTTCAATTGTCTCATGTAATGGTCGTTTTCGTAGATAAATCACAAATTTGTTTGTTTTTTTCTCTAAATATATTATTTTATTGAACATTAAATTTATAATTAATTTTAAGGATTATTCATGAGAAAAATGATTACAATGGATTTGTACCTTTTGATCCACTTTAATCTTAAACAAGATTAAACATTTTCATAAATTAAGTTTGATATGGGGATTGATCTGATACATCTTATCTTGGTGTATTTTATTCTAATATGCATCTAAGGGTGAAGATTCTTTCTTACATTTTTCATCTTAACTCTTTTTCTCACCGAAACCTAACTCTATGTATTTAAAAAAATGTTTACAAAGTTATGAACGATGCCATTATTTTGGTTAAGAGATTTTGATATGTTTTATTAATTGTATTCCAAGACGTAGGTCGTGTTTTGCAACCACGAGCTACCTTAATGTTTTTTTGCAACGTTATTTGAAATAGTTTTTTAATAAGTTTCTTAAGGTTTATCAAAGGGCCTTTACCTTAGCGGTATCATAGCTTTCACCTCTTAGAGGGTCAGGGGGTTCAAACATCACTAAATGTGATGAAGATGTGTGAATTTAGTTGTTACATTTGCCGTATATAAATATTACATACTTCAAAAAGAAGTTCCTTAATGTTATTTGAACTTTTTCAGTTATGTCTTTTATATTTTTACAATTAAACTTTTAACGTGACCTCTGCAAATTGATATATATTTTGTTAATTGGTATTTGCTAAACGTAATTAAATCCACCCTTTTTGTTGGTAAAAGAGGACGGAATCCTGAAAAAAATTATTCATAAAACGATAAAATTACAAAAACACTTAAGAAAGGCTTAGATCTAAAAACCAAAGTAACAACTACTTTGTCATCTAATTTGTCAAAGATTGCCATGTTGTGTTCCTTTAATTACATCAAGTTTACCAACACAGTTATTGGTAAATTAACTGATAAATTAGATGTTACTTCATAAGCTAACTATTAATAATAATCTATCTTTCGACTGATAAAGTAGTTGTTAGGTAAAAAAATCTAGTTATTACTTATAACTACTTGTTAGTTGATAAACTAACCAGGTTTAATCAAAATATTTGTAATAAAACTAGTTTATCGGTTAATTTACAGATAATCAGATATAATATTTTTTATTATTATTAAAAACATTGTTGCTATCAGTTTAGATTTCAAAGATTTTCCACTTATATTGTTATCAATAAAATATGTTCTTGATCCAATAATTCGTTAAGTTTAAGGAAACAATACTAAGGTTCTTAGAATACAACCGAAATTCGATTAAATTTAATAATTAAAAATATAAAATATGAATTTAATATAATATAATTTATTTGAAATAAAGAAAATAAGAATAAGAATGGGCGACTTGTACACCCACGTGCAAGTAGTAAATGCACGACTCATATGAATGCACACGAATGGAATGGAAGAGGAGACAAGACTACGGTCTCCTAAAGACTTGTATTGTTTTGACTTTGACTTCAATTTTTTTTATGGTTTAAAAAAATTAAAATAATAAATAATTTATTTGAGTTCACATCTAGCATTAGAAATTCTTATATATCATCTATATATCTAACCTCCTATAACCATCACAAACAACTCATAAGTTTTAAACACAACTTCTAATAGTTTCATTTAGAGATCCTATGAATGATTTTGTATCATGAGCTTCCTTTAATTATTCAGCGTTCTACTTTCGTTGTAAATAATTACCAAACAATTATATTTTATTTAACACTATATCATGAGAGTTTTTTTAAACATTTTGACTACTTAATTACAAACCATTTAACAACTGTCAAATCACCTCTAAATAGAATTGAACATAATTCTTTTTTGTGAGATACCAAACATTAAAAAATTACCTTATCAGCAGGAGGAGCGGATGTAGCATATAAAGGGTAAGGGGATGGGCCTCCATTAAAAACAAATTTTTCTTTAACTTTCTACCATCCTCCACTAATTTCTGGCATGTGCCCACGATTTGATTGAACGATTATAAAAGAAATTTTATTTTTTGATGTGATTATTGATTTGGAAAACTGAAGGTGTGGTTTATTTAAAATAGAAAAAAATAAATAAACGAAACGTAACGACGGTCCGAATGTTGCGTGCGACAAATGTGAACAGGAAAGTGTTGTAGGCATGGGGTCACGTCAACTGGTCAAACCAATATGCCCCTCACCATTTTCATTTTCATGGAACCATCCATTTTTTTTAAAGCAGAACTTGCGAAAAAAGCAATGTTTTAAATGGTTCGTTGTAATAGTTGTCATGATGAGTTGTGATTTAAGATTTATGTCTTACATCATGTTAAACTTGTGGCACGCCATGGTTTAATATGCGGTTTTTGTAACATGATATTTGATTTTTCTTATATTTTTAATGTCTTATTTATATGTAACCTAATTTCAATTGTTTAATATCATTAACTCATTGAGTAATGAGTACAGAACATATGTTTTTAGGGGCTTAATTATTTAAGGATCCTAAAATATGTGAGATTCGTTATATCCATCATAAGCCACTGATTTATAATAATTAATGAGATAATTATCGTTTTTTTCTTAAAATAAAAATTAATGTATTTTTCAGGGAATTCTATATGTATCTCTATTTCTTCTTCTGTCTCTTGTGTCCGTAATTTTTTTTATTAGGATGTTCGTAAGTGGTATATTTAGATTGATTTAATTTGTGTTCACAAGTTATAACAGATCTCGCATAATAGTATTTTTAAGAAAGTGTTCACATTAAGTTTATGTTGAATTATATGCGTGTACTATTATGTTACTCGAAGGATACTCGTGCAATGCAGCGAGATAAATCTTCATTTTAATGTTTATTCATTGTCTCTATCGATATAATACGATTTTATGTGGTTTTGAGAAAACGATAATGTTTTTATTTTTAAATTAAATATAAATTTGAAAAAAATAAAATCGATATTAGTATCAAATTAACTATTTAATAATTCTCATTTTTTTGTCTAACTTTTCTAGTTCAATTTTTATTATAATTTAATTTAGATTCAATAACAAAGTAATTTATTTTTGGTTTAATAATATAACTTTTTATAAAAAAATAATAATTAAACATTCTGTTAGAACTCAATGATTATTTTAATTATATTTTAGATTTTCTATATTTAAAATTGTTGTTTATCCTATATTTGATTATGTTTATCTGCAGTTAATTACATAAATTTAAAAAGTAGAGCTTTAATAAGTTATACTTACGCAAAATTACTTGTAAACTTAAGTTTTAAGTAATATACATTAATAAACAGTACTTCATGAATAAAAAATGGTTTTAAAAAGTTTTTGTCAAATAGTTTCTAATATATTATAAATTATAGAGGGAAGAGAGAGAAAATATGATAGATAAGAGAGAAGATATGAGAGAAAAAGTAAGAGAGATGAAAGAAAGGGAGAGGTTTTTAATTTATATTAGATTTTTTTCAAATAAATTTTTGTAGTTTAAACTGTTTTTATATAATATTTTTTATTTTAACAAATCTTTTAAAATTGAGAAAACGAAAGAAAAAATATACATATTTTTTTAATTTTAATAATTTAAAGAAAAAAAATTCTGATTATTTTCTATTACTGAGTTTGTAATATTATTATATATAATTTTTAAAAACTATGTATTAAAATGATAAAATATTTTAATAATATAATTAATATTAAAATTTATATAATAAAAAATCTGTTTAAATTAAATATAGTTTTTTTAAAGAAATTATAGATAAATAATAATTTATACTAAAGTAAAATACTTGTTTCATATTAACTTTGTTGATTCCATTTATAATATAATCACTAATCAGTGTAAGGTTAACAACGATTAATATTAATTAACACCCATATACTTGGGAAAAGGGCTTAATTATTCATTTTTTTGAAGTATATACGATAAATAGAACAAATAAACTCATACACCCTCATCACATTTGATATTTCTCATTTTAAATTATGTTGTTATATTGTAAATAATTTTGGTTAACTACAAATTTTAAATTGATATGATGGTCAACAAACGTTAAATTAGACATAAAAGTCGATCAATAATGATAAAAAAATTTGGGAACGGTAAAATAGTTTTTAAAATTGAAGATAATATAGATTCTCGTTCAACCAAATATGATGAATCATAAAGTAATATATTTAAGAAACAGAGATAGGAAACAACGTCGAAGTTTAAATGAAAACCTGAAACAGAAGAAAATCACAGATGAATAAGACTACTGAGATAATTCCGCTAGAAAAAGCATAAATAAATCACAAAGTTTAAGCAATGGTTCGTCAATGATGGTGTTTCAAGGTATTTTTATATACGAATATGAAAGAGATAAACAAAAATCACCCTAAGGTCGCTCTTAAGCTCCTCTATATTGTGTGGCTATTGTTTCTATGCAAAATGTATTAAGGGGCCATTTATCCAAACATTTACCCGGTAAACGTTTAATGGTAAAATTTGACTTTAACGTTTACTTATCGGGTAAGATTTTAGTCTACCAAAACGACATCGAATGTAACAATTTATCCGGTAAGCGCTAACTCACGGTCCTTGCCTTTGTTCTTATCACGTAAGATTCTTGGTCCTTGTCATATTCATCCGGTAAAGGAATATGGTTTGGTAAATGCTTACCCAAGTAAGCATTTGGTTAACGACCTCTAAATCATGTTGTACTTAATTTATGTGCACTCCCCCTTCAAACATTTGGCTCTATTTTTTTGGTAGTGGTTTCAGGTAAGTTTACGTTGACCGATAATGTCTTGATCTATCATGAATGTTTTGGAGTCATCATAGGTGATTCTCCATAGCCACAAAAGCATTGGCAGCACCTGGATCCAAATCCTAGGTAAATAACATTTTCCACTATAACCAAAAGGCCTTTGGCTTAGCGGTATCGTAGTCATTGGCCTCCTATGAGGTCAATGGTTCAAACTTCATCAACGGTGAGAAGGTTATGCGAGTTTATTTGTTACATTTGTCATATATAAATATTATATAGTTAAAAAAAACATTTTCCACTATATTCCCTGAATATTAAGCAAGTTTCTCCACAACCTAATTGGTTCTATTTTTATAAATAAAACTTGTATTAAATTCAATTGAATTTTAGAAATAAAAAGTAAGAAAAGAAAAGAAAACTAAGGGGCGTTTGGTTCGTAGAATGAAATTTGATGGAATTGGAATTCATCAAATGAATTTGACTTTGAGGGAATGGAATGGAATCTGATGGAATTTGATTATGCCTTGTGATTGCGTTTGGTTGTATGGAATTGGATTAGGGAAGGAATCTGTAGGAAATGAATTGAAATCCTAGCATATTGCCATGAAATTGTAAAATCTATGCATGAAGGAATCGATTGGAATTGAAAGGATTACATAGTCTTATTTCATGAACCAAACACTCTATTTGGAATTTGGTCAAAGGATTGGACATTCCAATTCCTTTCAATTCCCATGATTCAAACAACCCCTAAATGTCAAATATGGAGGCCTGAAACGTCGTATCCGAGCCTAGCTGGATTCATAATTGTCCTATTCGGAAGCCTATGGTACGATATTGTGACAATGTAAGTGCCATTTATTGATCCGAAAATCCAATACAACATCAAACCAAACACATTGACATGGACCTTTGTTTCGTATGTGAGAAAGTCTCTCGAGGTGACGCGCACGTCTTACCTGTTCCCTCCCACTATTAAATTGTTGACATCTTCACCAAAACCAAACAATTCTCGTACCAACCGTACCAATTTAATTAGTTGGCATCAATATAATTGTTAGTAGTATCGTATCAACTATGTAAACTTGGTTGTTACTTGATATTAGAAGTCGTATGCCACGGTAATGCCTCGTATTATGCAACTTATATTTTTAATAATTTATTAGTTAAAGTTTAATTAATGGTGCAGCATATTTTGATTTTTAAATTTTTAATTGCATTTTTTAATTTTGCTAAATGATAATATGGATGGATATACGTAATTTGTTCATCTAAAACTAACAACCTTAATAACTCGTCCACACCTCTATAGTCCATCGTCGCTCCTGAATGACCAATTAGATTAGACTATTAGTGAATGCTTATATTGTATAGAGGCTATATGAATACTTGTATATGTTGGGATAAGTGGTACAACACATATCAACGTGTTATTTCAATGCTTTATCACACTGCTATATTTCACTGAAGTTAATTAGATGTTTGTTATTGTACAGAACAACATAAAATATGATCAATGAAGACGCTAAAGATTGCGTAAGAATTGAACTATAAAAAGTCATGTGAGTGATCAGTTCTTAAAAACAAATCATTAAGCAAAAGAGAAATGAAATAATTGACGAGTGACAAGATATAGAGAAGCGATGTGGATTGATGGTTCTAATCACGCCTACACTAATTGAAACCACAAATAGGTACGTCAAAACCACGACGGAGAAACCAATGAACCCAAAACCAGTATTTTTTTTAACACCAACATGGTTTTCAGAGGTCGATACTCATACTCTCTTATATATACACAATCATAAAATTGCTGGAGACTAAGGGGTTGTCTGGTTCATGGATTTGGATGAAAAAAGGAATTGGAATGACCAAATCATTCCAAATCATTTGACCAAATTTCAAATACAATGTTTGGTTCATGGAATAAAACTGATGGAATCCTTTCAATTCCAATAAATTCATTCACTCACGGATTTTACATTCCACGGCAATACTCTCGGATTTCAACTCATTTCCGACAAATTCATTCCCTAATCCAAATTTATTCAACGTTGCGTCTACCATCTCATCTAATTGATCTCTAATTCGATCTCCATCTGGTACGCTCTCGCGCTCTCTCTCTCTCGTAATTTCTCCATCTATATGAGATCGATAGACAACATATGTAATCAAAGAATCAATTCAAGATAACTAGCTATCGATATCACTCGTCCAATTCCGTTATTCAAAAATCATAAAAGGTAATTTGTTGATATTTAATTCCGATTCCAAAATTGAATTCCGTGAACCAAACAAAAAAATTCCAATCTGTTAAGAATTTCATTCCAATTTCATGCAACCAAACGCAATCACAAGGCATGGTCAAATTCCATCAGATTTCATTTCATTCCCTCAAAGTCAAATTAATTTGATGAATTCCAATTCCATTCTACGAACCAAACGCCCCCTAAAGTTACAACAATTATTCTCGTTACCTTTAAAAAAACTAAACCTCTGATAAATATTTTTATGAAGCTGCAAGCACTTTATTACTTTTATATGTAAATAAATAAAGAGAGGAAGGTGAATAAATGAAAAAGAGAATCCAAAAGCCAGATAACACATATTCGAATATAATGACACGTTTTAATTTTGTTAAAATGTAACAAATAAGGATCATCTTTATTACCCACCTGAAAACACGATTTAAACCGGTGGTAAATATAAATCAACGGCGGCCGGAAAATTCTGTATCACAACTACAACAACTTAACCCTTTTGAAACTATTTTCCGCCACCACCACCCAACTTCAAAATATCTTTTCCCAAATTCTCCACCGTATTTTTCACGCCCCCCACCAGCTCACCCGCCTGACTTACGCCGTCCTTCACCAGATCCTCCGCCGTGTCCACAATCTTCTCAGCGGACTCTGTTATAATATTGTTCTTCGCCAGATCATCCGCCGTGTCCACAATCTTCTCGGCGGACTTTGTTACAATATTGTTCTTGGCCAGATCCTCCACCGTGTCAACAATCTTCTCGCCGGCCTGAACCACCTGTTGGAGTTTGACTTATAAGTGAGAAAGTTGTGGGCTTCCGTGGGATCAATTTCACAAAGTACGAATCTTGGGTATAATTCGAGTTTCCTATATTTTATATATATACATCTTTCTACTTATAGATTGATCAATGATTACTTGTAACAATACCTTGTCCTTCACATCCGCCGCCGCATCGGTGATCTTCTCCTGAGCCTTGGCCACCTGATCGGAACCAATTGGGTGTTTTCCAGTGACGTAACGGTAAATCCAGTACATGATGTAGGCTGGGACCAACACCGGACTGAAGATGAGCAACATCGGACTGAAAACGAGGAGGAGGCCACCGACGGCAGCGACTTTGGCGAGTTTTGTCAGTTGATCGGAGAGTTGAGGGTTATTTTCAGCCATTGAGGTGGGAGTTGAAGTGTTGGGATGTGTTTAGAGAGACAGAGGGAGGGTGGTGTATATAGTAGTCGGTGGTGGTAGCAACTTGCACGTGATCGGCGAGAAAAATAACGTGAAACACGGCGATTTGTATTTTGTAGCACAGAGAATTTGCATGGAACTCGAGGGTAGAGTAAGCCACATGGAAGGTGGTCAGAATTTGTAAAATTTAAGAAAAAATATTTTATATTTTTATAGGTTATGGTTTTTTATAAAAATATGTGTACCAAAATTACGGATAAAAATCCTGTCTTATCTTAAATTGTCACATCTTAATTTTAATGGACAGATTTACCTGTGCATCCGAGTAATATATTTTTATAAGCACCATTTTTTTTTTTTTTGATACGAAAGATATATTTATTAAACATTTTTTGAAGAGTGTTATAGAACATTAATTAAAAAAATACAAAAAATATCAACCAAAAAACTTCCGTAACGGAATAAGTCTCTTAAAAACAACCGAAAAAGTCTTGCGAAATCAACCAAAAAAACCGATAAGTCACTCAAAATCAACCAAAATTTAAAACAATTTCCTAGAAATTAACCAAAACAGTCAAAAAAATCTTTTGAAAGGGTGGAATTMGACTAAAACACAACAGACGACTTTACGGACTCTTTGTTGTATCTTGAAGATACACCCGCTCGATGGAAGTTTTGGGTCCACCGTTGCTCTACTTGCCCACGAATCACATACTTAGGCATAATCAAAGGGAGAATAATAATCCAAATTAAAATATATAAAAACTCATTTATTTTAATTTTATTGAAGAGACATGAATGAAACGTGAGATTTTGGAACAAGTGATTTTTACCCCACAATTACTTGTCTCCTACCTGTCCCACCAATCACGTGGATGCATATTAATGTATATATATATATATATATATATATTCATTTAATTTATAGATAAAAATAAGAGGTGGGATTTTGATAAAACGAATATTTATCAATATCCATCTGTCTCTCCCATGCACCCGTTACACCTTTACAACCATTCCCTTTATTTACATAACCAACATCTTACAATTCATATCGACTTCACACATGTCAAAATTTAATTAGATGAATAAAGAAAGAAATGTATAACAAACGTTTTGTTTCTCTGCGAAAAGTAATAACTAAAGTGACCCTGACCCATGTCAAACGTGATATGTGGTCACAAGTCCGTAAATACATACCGACTACAATGTTTGTCCCTATTATAGATATTTTTTTCCGATAACAAACATGTTTGGTTTTCTAAATCTACAATGCTTCATCTTGTTTTAGTTTAAAAAACGTAATTTTAGTATGTATGGTTTAAGTGAATTTTATTCATACCTGTTTTTATATGATGGTATGTGAGTGTGATAAGATGGTGTATATGAATATGAATATGAATATGAATATGAATATGATTTTTAATTTTTTGGTGAAACCACGTAAGACCAAAAATGGAGTTTATTCTCTAATAATTAACCACTGGAATATAAAATGAATTAAGGGAGTAATCATCAAACCATGAATTGAATTGGATTATATATATTGAACTAGAACGAAACTTTCACAATACCGTGACATACATCTTGATTTTAATGTTCTATTTTATTCTTTATTTTGTCGATGTTATAATACGATTTTATGTGTTTTTAAAAAACAATAATGATTTTATTTTTAAATAAAATATAAATTTGAAAATATCATAAAATTTTGAAAAAAATATATCGATGTTAATATCAAATCAACTATTTAAAAGTTCTCATTTTTTATGTAATTTCTTTAATTTATTTTTTTTTATTATAATTTAATTTAAATTTAATAATGAAATAATTGATTTTTGGTTTAATAATATAATATTTTTTAAGATAATAGTTAAGTATTCTGTTGAAACTCAATGATTATCTTGTATTTTAAAAAATTTATATTTAAAATAAGATGTTTATCATATATTTGATTATGTTTATCTGCAGTTAGTTACACGAATTCAGATATGGAGCTTTATTGAGTTGTACTTACGCACAATCTACTTGTAATCTTGAGTTTTAAGTAACATATATTAATAAATAGTACTTAATGCATAAAAAGTGGTTTTTAAGAGTTTTTGTCAAATGCTTTATAATATAGTATAGATATACAAATGGGGTTGAATTCCAGTGGGAATGAGAGTTAAAGTGAGAAACGTATGAAAAGATTTTTAATCGTGGATGTACATTAGAATGAGATATATCATATCAACCCTCGTATAAAACACGATTCATGGATGAGTTTGAGATTAAAAGTGATCAAGGGTTCAGATCCAATCTTACGTTTCTCACTTTAACTCTCCTTCTCGCATGATTCTTCACACATAGAAATAAAAGATCTTTTACAAATTCAACCATTAATTAGTAGAAAGTAGAACCATAAAAATCAATTAATTAAGATATTTATAGAAAATTATGAGAGTTTGTTTATTATGATTTTGATATTAATGAAAGATTATCAAAGTTTTTTTATAAGGAAACTATAGAGATATTCAGTCAATCGGATATTTATTAGAGTAGATGAACGGTTTGTACGATTTGTTCAAATTGTTGAGTTCGTCAATGAAACCACCCCTAATTTATTTTCATTTAATTCTAATTTTTATGATGTGGAATTAATGACCACATAATAAAATTAGAATTAAATGAAAATAAATTAGTACTTATCAACAGTTTTTTGTTATCTTAGATTTGTCTTTATCCCTTAAATGTGTTAGTATCATCACATACTTGCTATGCCAATACCTCCGTTGTCGACAATGTTATGATAATGATCTGATTTTGATGTGATAATGTTTCGATAAATCCAAAACTTCCTATGACGTGAATTTGCTATGGTAATGATCTGATAATTATGTGATTTTGATGTGATAATCGAAAACTAGTGATAATATGTCTACAATCAGTCAATCATCGTTATGTTTGTTTATTATATGATTTTGTTGTGATAGTAATATACAAATGATTTGATACATTATGACTTGTGAGTATACCATTTGTACGCAGTTTTATGGATGAGAAAGTCACTAAAATTACAAATAAATACGAAATCATATGATTATTCTCAATAATTTGCTTTATTTTCTTTTAATTTTGATTATAGGTTAAATAATTTAAAGGCTCATAAATGTTTTCGTATTTTTGTAGAGAAGAAATATTAGGGGACTCTTTATGTGAATCATTAAAAAATCCATTTGATAATACATATGTGAACAGTCTATTACGTCAGTTCACATATACGTTTTTAAATAAAAATTTCATATTTTTTCATTGATCCACGTATAAACCTTCGACTTGCATGCCAATCTGGCTAGCTTGCTAGTAGCAAAAAGACCAACCCGACAACAAAGCGACAACGATCTTACAAGCAACGAGCAAATAATTTACAGAATCATATGATATATGACGAAGGTTGTGAAACTTTTCTCAAATAATCTAATTTATTCAATATACCCGGCTATTGGTAACCAAACCAACACAACTCAGTATATCTTACTCGAAACTAGAATCTGGGGGTAGAATGTTTACATATTTGTCCTCTACCCCAAATGGTAAAGCAGTTGTTTCCATAAAACCCCCGACTTGTGCTTGGTAACCATTAAAAGGTTTAGAATCAATGGTGACAACTAGAGCCTTGTGTATGGTTGAGCCCGAATTTGGCTCATTTCATTCACCTTTGTACAAAGGTTTTCGTTTTTCCGCAAATGCGGCCAAGCCTTCTAACCGATCAGTTGTGTTCAAGATATGTTCATAGCAGTCTTCCTCGAGAGCCAACGCCGAAGCCATGTCTAGATCCAAACCTTGGTTAATGGCTCGCTTGGCCATCCTGATGGCTACAGGACCCTGATAACACAAATCACATCTACATCAGTTTCGTTCTCAAGAGATTTATGATTAAAAAAAAAGTAAATTGCATGAAAAATTGTTTTGATTTGATTCCTATTTTGAGTGGCGTACTTTCAAAACCTTTATTTTGGTACCTAAGATGTGATATCTCAAACATTTAGGTATCTGGATAACCTGTTTAACCATTAAACAATTACCATGCTGACATAACAAGTGATGTGACATACAACTCAGGTTTTATTTTGCATTTCTTCTGAGCCAAAATGGATAGGGTCGGGGTGCGTTAACCTGTTGGATCCTAACACCCTTTTTCTCCTTTTTCTGTTTCAAGTTCCATAACAATCCTTCTTCTAGAACTTAACAGGTGAAATGGGCAATTTCACTAAAGTTATGTTTGGCAATATTGCTAAAAAGCTAGCTGTTGGCTGAAAAAAGTGGAAAGAAGCTCTGGGTCTTACTGAAATGCTAATTCTAGCTTACGGCAAACCACATGGGGATTTTCAATAAGTTCAAAAAATAAGCTAGCTTATGATTGCCAAACATAGCTTAAGTGGGCTGATTTTGCCATACTCCTGCATCATGTCATGCAGGCTATTTGATAAAGCAGAAAAAAGAACCATACCATCTGTGTACAATCATGTATGATTAAAAGACACATGTTACAGCAGGAATGCTGTCATCTTCATTTATTTTGTCTATCATATAGCTACTGCGTATTATAATGTACCTTTTGATTTATTTCACGGGCGATTTCAAGCGCCTTTGAATAAGCTTCACCAGCAGAAACACAGTGGTTGATGAGACCTGCATGAAAATTTCTTGTGGTTTTCAAAAACAATCAAGATAGACAAAGGACAGTCGTTTGAACAAAATACCAATTGACAATGCATCTCTGGCACTGATCTTCCGCCCAGTGTAAATAAGCTCTTTGGCTATTGATTTTCCAATCAACCTAGGAAGTCGTTGTGACCCTCCTGCACTGTAAATAGCCAAAGATTGATATGACAACCATTTAATATGCAAAATATTCTTCTTATAATATATTCTTGAGTTAACAACTCATTCATTGTGAATTATCTTTTATATTCATGTGACAAGATATACTATGATATTGAGGCTTAAAGCTAAACCAACATTTGAATGCCATTTGGAATATTTATGCATAAAAAGCTATATACACAATATAGTTATTAAGAAAGTTGTAGTAATATACTGATCTAGATAAGATACGAAAACCGAGTATATGGTACTTCACTTTTGATAAGCATTTGGTAGCTAAATTTAGGCTTTTCATTAAGAGAGACTTACGCTGGTATTACAGCAAGCCCGGTTTCTGGCAAGGCCAGTTTGGCATCTTCTCCTGCAGAGACAATAAATTATCCTTTTTCAAAAAGTGAAATTTTGCATAACGAGGTAAAGGAAGTTGAGGTACTGTATTATATATAATTATGTATGTACTTGGTATTACCACATATCCGAAGATCGCAAGATAAAGCCATCTCCAGACCCCCACCCAATGCTGCACCTTCAATAACTGCAATAGTTGGGATTTGAAGTGCCTGAAATTGGAACATTCATTTAAACCCTGATTTTCTAACTAAAGAGTGAAAAACTATGAGAACAGATAAGTGCAGATGAAACAAATTAGAAGACACAAGAGTCCCCTTTAGTTGAAATTATAGTACCAAGAGGGTAATAAATGGTGTAATGGTAATTTTACCACCTGCAGATGTAAGATTTTAGAAGATATTTTGTGTAGAAGGCAATAAATTTAAAAAATATGGTGAAGTATATAAACAGAACGATAGGGATTTGGCAGAAAAATCATATCCACATAGGTATACCTAGCAGTATTTATGTAAACGTGGCATCGAACAAAACTGAAACAAGCAAACCTATTGAAGAACGATGAGGCAAACCTCTAAGAATGAAAAGGTTGACCTCAGCGAGTTAACAAAAGCTCGAGCCTCAGATGTATTCATGGTCCTTCTTTCCTACCAACAAAACAATAGCACTGTTAAGGACATGAAGGGCTGTTGCAGAGGCATGGTGCCAAGACACAGATAATCATCAGATGCAAGACCAACTTAAAATCGATATCTAATGGCTACAAGAGAAGAACTTCAACAATAAATTAACTGAGAATACTTGGTGAGATAACAGGACAGTCGCTCCTTAAAGAATGGTAATAATCTCATTTTGTTTCACTTTTCCCTTTTGTTTTAGGTTTGACCATCCCAAAACCAAATTCCCAAGTCAAGCCTTTTGTCTTAATTAACAAGTACAAGGGTAATATAGCATGATAGAAGGAATGACAAAAGTCAACTGTTTCCATTCTATGGAAATTGAGGGGGATAAAGAACTTGGTGCTTATTTTGATGATACAAGATAGAGGGTTCTTTTCATACAACCACATGTTATGTAAGCCCTAAGACAGATGAAAGCGGGTAAAGCTTTAAGGATACTACTAATTAATTTGTACTGGGGGTTCGAAAGGTTCATTTCGGACCTCCCCAATTAAAAATGGGAGTAAAGATTTGTTGTATGAAAACGTTTATCTAGTAGCATTCAACACATATTGTCTAACTTGATACTATTCTATGTCATGACAATAAAAGGTTCCTTCTAGATTCGTTTCCTCAACTGATCAATGGTAAGCCGTATTCCTGATAGCCCTTGATGTAACTTGGTAGTATGTATCTTCAAGACACTTCCTATTTCCCCATTGTGGTTGTCCAAAAGTTCCTTTTCAGTCCATCACTTGGTTTGACATGATTTGTTTTAAAATCTAATTATTTCTACCACTGGCCTGTTCTTTCACATGTTCCAGTTAGTATTTATGATCTAGGAGTTAAATCATACTTTATCCCTGAGGAAATTAATAAATTTTGATAGCATGTCTAAACTCTACCTTCAAATCAGCACCTGCACAGAATACCCTAGAGACTGAGCTGCATATCATCAACACATTTGCAGCCGATTCTGCACTTATAGCTTCAAAGCTATTCTGTAATCCCCTCAGCAAATCCCTCCCAAGGGCATTTTTGGCTTCAGGTCTATCCATGATAATTTCAATAATTCCTGTCAAATGAACAGTAACAGCTATTTCAATATGTGCCAAAGTTTCATTGAAACGATGACAAATGATATAGGATTGCCATTGTCGTAGAACCATAAAAGGCATGTCTTTTGTGATTTTTCCAGTTATAATTATTTGGTGTCAAAACTTCTCTTTGATGATACTTGACAGACTGGAACTCAATATTAATCATAACATGAAAGCTTTGCCTAATTGCAAATGAGATAATTACAGATAACCAAAAGATCGTTTCCCTTTGCTTTCAACAGGATCTCAACATAGTTATCCAGCCCTAATAAAAAGAAACCTCCCTCTCCGACTAATTTTGGGGTAGAAGCTTCTCGCGGTTAAATTCATGCAGTAATTAACAGATATATGTTCATAAGTAGCAGATTATAGTATTAATTACCGGAATCGGCATCGGAATGTCTATGAATTTTGACGGATTCAGAAGCGGACTGAAGGATGAGTGTCCGGATACTCTGGAATTGCAATCGAGAGGGTAATAAGAAGGTCGTTGAATCATTGATGGCTTGATTGCAGAATCGTCTGCCAATGCTCCCAAACACCACCATTTTTGGGTTCGATTACATGCATATGGAGAATGATCGCAGATCAGAGGGATAAGTAGCAGAGGAAACGCTCCGAGTCAAAATAAGTCAAACGACGAGGATAAGAGAAAAAAAAATATAGAGTAAATTATGATTTTAATTCACGTAGTTTGTTAAAAATTACTATTTTTGTTCCTATTTTTTATAAATTTGAATTTTTATCTCTATAGTTTATAATTTATTGTTATTTTTATCCTTAAATCTAATATAGGAGTTTGAGTACAAGAGATGGGAAAAAAATCAAAGAACTATGAACCACATGGACCAGAACAGTAATATGTTATAAATTATAAGAACAAAAATAACAATGAACTACAAATTATAGGAATGAAGATTACAAATAATATACCATAGAAACAATAATCATAATTTTCTTACTGAATATAGGATCAAAAATGTAATTTAATCTAAAATTTAAATCAATTTGTTGTATATATTATGTTGAGTCTTAAATTATGCGTTCTTAAATTAAACTAGAAGGGTATTCGCACAATACAACGAGATATATTTTTATTTTAATGTTTTGTTTTATTTTTTGTCTCTGTTGATATAATACAATTTATGTGGTTTTGAGAAAGATGATGTTTTTACGATTTAGTGAAGTAATTTATTTTTGGCTTAACAATAAAATTTTATAAAGATAATGATTATCCTAATTATATTTTAGATTTTTTTTATATTCAAAATGAAAAGTTTATCCTATATCTATACTATATTATAAAGCATTTGACAAAAACTCTTAAAAATAATTTTTCATGCATAAAGTACTGTTTATTGATGCATATTACTTAAAATTCAAGGTTACAAGTTGATTGTACGTAATTAAAGCTTCATGTTTGAATTCGTATAACTAACTGCAGATAAACATAATCAAATACATGATAAACATCATTTTAAATATAAAAAATCTAAAATATAATTAAGATAATCATTGAGTTCTAATAGAATATTTAATATTATCTTTAAAAAATTATTTTATTAAACCAAAAATAAATTAGTTTGTTTTTAAAATTCAATTAAATTATAATTAAAAGATTGAATTAAAGAAATTACACAAAAAAAGAACTTTTAAATAGTCAATTTGATACTAACATCGCTTATTTTTATCAAAATTTTATGATATCTTCAAATTTATAATTCATTCAAAAATAAAAATATTTTATTTTTCTCAAAACCACATAAAATCATATTATAACATTGATGGACTCGAAATATAAAACGAAATATTAAAATTAAGATGTATATTGTTGCATTGTGCAATTATTCTTCTAGTTTGATTATGTTTATCTGGAGTTAGTAATACGAATTCAAAAATGAGTCTTTAATAAGTTGTAGTTATGCACAATCTACTTGTAATCTTAAATTTTAAGTAATATTCATTAATACACAATACTTCATGCATAAAGAATGATTTTTACGAGTTTTTGTCAAATGTTTTATAATATAGTTAGTATAGATAAAGTTATAAACTTTTTTTAAATTATATAATATTTATATACGACAAATTCAACAAATAAACTCACATACTCTCCTCACATTCGATGAGGTTTGAACCCTTGACGTTCTAAGAGGTCAAGGACAATGATACCGCTAAGTCAAAAACCCTTTGGTTAAAGTTATGAACTTTATATTGAATATGACATGTAATATCAAGTTATCTGCCAACAATTGAATATATAATAAAAATATTAGAATGAACAATATTATGATGACCAACTAAATGTGTGATAAACAGGGTACAAGGATAACGTTCACAAATTAACGTCCATCATTGTGTACATTTATCATTCGTTTTCGGGTCTTTTCACCATTCGTTGTTTTTTAGCATATTTGAGAAAACAATTTTTCGAAAGGCTAATTTCAACCCCTTCTTGCGGAAAATAATAAATATATATGATTTCATAAATATCTCGATTGTTTTCTAATATAAAACATTGATCATAATTAATGAGTTCCAATCATTATCTATAAATATTTAGATAATAATAAATGAACGTTCATCATTCAATAAATATCTCAAATAATTGACTTTTATGATATATTATAAAATATAGCTATTATCTTACCAAACACAAGACAACTACTACAATAGTTATGTTTCAGTTGTATAAAACACCAAATAGATGACTATTGTTGTCTCGTTCAGTCTAATCCAAATCAACCTATCAATTCCCTAGTGGTTGTTTGAGAATTACTAAATGGTTTACTGTAGAAGAATTAAGTTGTCAGAATGATTAATAGGCTCTCGTGATATAATGCAAAATAAAATTTAGTTGTTTGGTAATTATTTACAATGAAATTAAAAGATTGAATGATTAACAATTAATTACACCCTTTTTCAAGAAATCAAAAATGATTTTAAATATAAAAAAATTAATATATTGCGAAAATGGAAATCATCAAAGTGTGTAATTGATAACACCAATCTTAAAAAAGGCATAAACCCCAAACTTAGAAACATAGTAACAAAAATCAATGGTTTTTATTATATGCATTTATATAAATTCTATATATTTTGTTACGAACCATTTTTTTCCATATATTTTCAGCAAACAAAGAATCATAGTCCAAGTCCATCAACAAACACCAGTTTTCGAGTTCACGAAGAACGATAATAGCAGCGGTGATCATTCAACTTTCTTCATGCGAAAAGGGTATAACGGGAAGGCTTTAAGGTTTACGAATCCAAGCCCGACCAAGAAACGGGCTTCGAGTCGAAAATCGTCAGATAAAAAACGAAGGGTCGATGGTTGTTTAGCAACGACGAATGTAGGAACGAGCTCATCAAAGTCGCAAAGAAACACCACTCGTAGAAGCAAGAGGCTTGAGATCCGTAACACTGAAGAAAGAAGAAAAAATGGGACCATTTTTTCATGGCTCATAGATTCGGAAATAGTCCCAGAGGGTGCGACTGTCTACTACACGGGTCTCACGACTCAAGCGGGTTTCAAGAGAGGGACGTTAGAGCGAAACGGGATTTTCTGCACTTGTTGTCGATGCATTTTCACGATTCGGGATTTCCAATTGCACACGGGCGGCCGAGTTTGTGACAATCCGTATGATGCGATCGGAGTCGACGGAATTCGAGGCGACGGTAGCATTACTCCGCTTTCGCAATGTATGGAATCCGCTTTGCAGAATCGAAACGAACCGGAACACCACGGGGTCAAACACGTTAAGACCAAAGGATCTGATGGCGATATTTACGACGATGCGTGCATTCTATGTGCCGATGGCGGGAATCTGATCTGTTGTGAACAATGTAATTCGACGTTTCATGCGAAATGCTTAGGTATGCAGGTAAATAAATCGAATTTATATCTTTTTGTTCGAATATATAATTATTTTAATAAAATTTATAAATAAATAAAAAACATTTGTAATGTGAAATTTGAGACTTATAATGTGCAGGTGGTTCCTGATGAACCATATTACTGTGCTTATTGCGCTTGTAGATTATGTGGGATGCCTGTTACCAACACGGATTCTTCCTCTCTCACTTGTTCTTTATGTGAAAAACAATGTATGTACATTTATTTTCTTATTAATTTTTTATTAAAAATACTGATATCACGTATCAACTAAACACGAACCATATACATATATATCTATATATATATTATAGGACTCCCAAGTACTTTGGACGTTCTAACAATCGTTCTATTGTAGGATCTCATAAAATAGATAAAGAGTTAACTGTTTTATATGCATACAGACCATGTAAAGTGCTCAAAGGAGTCGGTAAGAATCGATGTCAATCGATTTCCAAGAGCATTTTGTGCGAAAAGTTGCAGAAAGATTCATGAGAAGTTGGAAAGCAAGATCGGAGTTCGAAGAGAACTTGTAGATGGCTTATCGTGGACTCTCCTACATAGGTTCGATAAAGAATATGGTTCTTATGAAGTTGGCATATCCAAAAGACTTGAGTCCTATTGCAAGCTTGCAGTTGCATCCAGGATATTGACCGCTTGTTTCGAGCCTATAAAAGATCGACACACGAGGATTAACATGATTCGAAACGTAGTGTACAATTGCGGGTGAGTGAAATTTGAAAGGTATACATATGTTATCAAAGGGTCATTGGCCTAACGATTTTCTGTTACTGATAGAGCTCAGGTTTCAAACCTGGTAAAAAAATTGTGGATGGTGTGTGAGTATTTATCATAAATAAATATTATATACTTAAAAAAAAATTATGTTTGATCAATTTAAATGCTTATGTAGATCGCATTACCGACGGATAAATTTTTGCGGGTTCTTCACTGCAATACTTGAAAAAGGGGATGAAATTATTGGAGTGGCATCCATCAGGTATATTGTATATGAACTTTTTATAAAGTATTATATTTTAGCCCGCTTTTTTCCACTCGATCATTTTGATTAAAATAGTCAAGATTGGCAAATATCAATTTCACAACTTACAAAATGTATTTTTTCTTGATTAATTATGACTCTTGTAGGGTGTGCTTGCGTCTTGCGAAATGGGTGTGGCGGCTTCGCCACCAAAATCATATTTTTAATTTAAAAGAATACATTTCGCAAGTTGTAAAATAAACACCTACGATATATTGACTATTTTAAGACAAATTGGAAAAAGTAGGATAGAAGGTGAATGAGGAGAAGCCATTTGGCTGTTTTGTTCAATTTTCTTAATATTTACATACGACAAATACTCGTACATAATTTTCACCATTTGTGATGGTTGAATCCTTGACTTCTTGAAGTTGAGTTCTACCGGTAACCCATGTACTGTTGGGCAATGACTTTTTAAAAGGTTCATCTCTAAGATTCATGTCCCTTGATTAATTATCTTGAAACGTATTGTTTTATTCTGTGTTCAGAATTCATGGAAGTAATCTTGCAGAGCTACCATTTATAGCAATCGCTGAACCACACAGAAACAAGGGAATGTGTGGCAAACTGTTGAATGGGATTGAATCTGTATGTCTTAATTAGTTCAAGATTGCAATACCTTTTTTCTCGTTTCTCACCTAAAAATATAAAGACAGTTAGACAGTCGAACATTCTAAACGACCTATTTTGTTACAGTGTATGCAAATAAAGGCTTATTATATTAATTAACATATCTTATACAACATTAATTTTTAGGATCTTGAAGATTTTGGAGTAAGAAACGTGGTTATCCCTTCCTCCTCCGAGACGATTAAGGTCTGGAATGAAAAGTACGGTTTTAATCTCGTAAAAGAGGAAACAAAAAAAGAAATCATGAAACTGAACACCCTAATGTTCCATGATTGTTTAAGAATGCAGAAGACCATCGTAGTACTCCCAGGTTATATTTATTTTTATTTTTACTGGTACTTATATTTATTTGGCCATCCTCTTATTTATGAAAATTTAATTAATACTCATTTTTGTGTAACAAATTGCTTCCTCTATGCAGAAAGAATTGATTTAAACGCTGAGCCACCTCACGAGTACGACGAAGTAATAGACATGTAATTAATCATAGAAAGTAATATATATTCTTAAACTTAGTTTTGCATGGTGATGTTGATTGTGATATAGTTGAGCTACATACATATACTTAGTTTATGTTTAGATACCATTACACGGTTCAACTTCAAAGCTATAACTTTTGTAGTTTAGTATTAAGTAATGCAGATTGTAGCTATTATCGTAAATAGTCATGAACAATAACTTATTATCGACATTAATCATCTCGAGTCCCCAACATCTCCATTAATGCAATCACTCTCTGATGCTTTAAATTTTACTGAATCACTAATATTATGTTTACGAAATAAATACTGCTTAAAGGTGGTTTAAACAAATAAGTTCAGATGTTATCATGTAGATTTTATATATAATTATTATATAATATTACAATGTAAACTTATATGTACGTATGTGTGTATGTATATGTGTGTGTATTTGTGTGTGAGTGAGAGAGAAAAAGAGAGCGTGTGTTGGCGTACGTGCAACCGCGTATTGGGAAGATTTGACATCATTGGTCAATCAGTCATAGAGACTATCTGTAAAGATGTCGAGTTCAACTAGTTTTACTAAGTCTATGCAATGATGCCTGTAAAAAACAAAACATAAATATACTTGTTGCCAAACGAACAAGATAATCCCTTTCGTCTCCTCTTCCCTTCACTTTCAATGTCAGCCAGATGAAAGTAACTATTATTAAAACTACATTTCGGTCATCAAGACTCCATTTAATATAAGTTACTTCTTGTCTTCTTCCAAGTTCCATGAACGCTGTTTTCCATACCGTGTCATCTAATTGTAGAAAATAAATTTATTTCACCAAATTTCTGGTATTTTCCAGAGTTTTAGTAAAAAAAAGATTTTGAAAGTCATCATATTCATATAAACATCGTAGTGGTGGTGGTAGCAGCAAGAACGATGATAGTGATGGTGATGGCGGCATGACGACAATGGTTGTTACAGGTAACAAACTAAAACTCAAAATGGTCAAAAATGGACCCCTTGCATATAATACAATAACTTATAACAATTTTACTTGTTAATAAACTATAAATAAATTTAACAGATATTGATGTTTTATTTATATTTCAACAAATACAATTCACAAGAAAGTGACAACATGATTATTAGATAGGCACGACTATTTTTGTATTTATTTACATGTTGTATTATACGTTAACGTTAAAGAATTATTGTTCTTAGATTTATTTTATATTATCATTCAAATGGTTTGTAAGCTAAGCAAAGCAAAGCATTGTGTTTTATTTTATTAATCACATGGATGTATTAAAATATATATATATATATATATATATATATCTTTCTCTAACAAAAACTCACCATTCTTTTTATTTAAAGACAATAAATAATATCAACAAGAAACAAAAGTAATAAACAAAGTCCGAACAGGAAGTCTGCAAGATGTTGAACTAAACGACACTAAACCACCCAAAAAGATGCATTGAACAAGCGAAGAATTAGACAAAAACATCCAACCCAACAACAAAAATACAATCTAAATAACCGAGGTACAACAAGAAATGCTCAACAAACGGATCAACCGGGAAGATGAAGTTGGAACCACAACCAAAGTCAATCCAAACAACAGGACTCGACAACAAACTCGAAAAAGTTAGCCATTAAGTCCAGAACCGCCACTTGAATACTTCGTCTTTTAGCTTCTGATGTTTAACTTTTTATCGACTACTTTTATAAACTTAAGTTCATTGTTATATATAATTAAAATAAATAAAATTCTTTTCATAAAAAATGACAATCTTTTTAAAATTCAGAAGTCTATAAACTTGATTAAGATACATACAAACACTTGTAGTTATTAAATAATAATAACCATTTTCTCAATGTTATTTTTATTAATTTGATTGGAGATTTAAAAAAACTATGTAGGAGTTGTTGAGGTAGTGCTTATTTTGTCTTTTCCCTTTTTCTATTACCAAGTCCATGAAACTTAGAAAATAGTTAGCATAGAGAAAACCATACATTAAATATAATATTTTAGTGTTATTTATTTAATTAATAATAGACTCATTATTTTTTTATTAACCTGAATATTCAATCCGTTATACAAACCGACTAATCTCAAGACAATCACCTGTTTTGCAAGTAACCTGAAGTCACCACATTCGAACATCTGTGGCTACAATGAGATTTTTATTTCTCATTGGATTTGAACCTAGGATCTGCAAACACTTTTGACCTTTGGAGTCCAAGTTCAAACCAATCAGATATCAGCCTTGTGATTAATAGACTCATTGTTCATGACTGAATAACAAGAAATTTTGAAATTTTGAGAGGAGTTTTTCTAAATTTCAAAAAAGTGATAAGAAAAATTATCAAGACAAGAAAATGTGAAAATGATGTAAAAGTTTGAAAGGGTTTATTGGGATGAGAATGAAATAAAAAAACCAACAATTTGACATTTTTTATTTCAAAAGGTTTATTTAATCCAACAACTAAAATTATTTCATTTTTTCTCTTTTAAATAATATTAGTTAATGTGATTAATCATTAATATTGAAATAATTATAAAAATCTTATATCATAATATACAAAAAGAATATATATATATATATATATATATATATATATATAGGTTTGGAAAATATGTCAAACAGTTCACCTAACTATTTAATTTTCTATCTGATTTCACATACATCTAAGTTGTAATAAAAAAGACAGATTTCGATAATTAATATTTTTTTTTTCTTCACGACATTGAATATATAAATTTTGTTATAAAAATAATGAGGAAACCTTGGAAAAAACCTCAAGGTGGGGGAACGAACAATGGTGGTCGCAAGAGAGGGTTGTCAATTTACAACGACTTGAAATTAATTTTTAATTAAGTTGTCAATTTATGAAAAGGCTAGGCTTTTTCATTGATTTTTTTATTTGAAATTAAAACAAATGATAAAATGGTTATTTTAATTATGATTTCGTTTATATTGAAATTTCGATCAAATAAAATTCGTATATCTATACTATATTATAAAACATTTGATAAAAATTCTTAAAAACCATTTTTTATGCATGAAGTACTGTTTATTGATGTATATTACTTAAAATTCAAGTTTACATGTAAGTTGTGCGTAAGTACAACTTACTAAAACTTTATATTTGAATTCGTGTAACTAAGTATAGATAAACATAATCAAATAAAGAATAAACATATCTTTTTAAATATAAAAGATCTAAAATATAATTAAGATAATCATTAAAATCTAAAAAAATATTTAATTATTATCTTTATAAAAAATTATATTATTAAACCAAAAATAAAAAAAGAAATAAAGAAATACACAAAAAAAAAAAGAAATTTTAAATAATTAGTTTGTTACCAATATCAATAATTTTCTCAATTTTTATGATCTATCTTCATATTTATAATTTATTTAAAAAAAATATTATCGTTTTCTCAAAACCACATCAAATTGTATTATTACATTGATTGAGACAAAAAAATGAAACATTAAAATCGAAATGTATTTCATTGTATTATGCGAATACCCTTCTAGTGATTAAAAAAACATATAAAAATACGCTAATATTTATATGTATTTAAAAATTTCTTGAAAACCAATTAAATGTAAAAGATATTATGTGGTCAAGAAACGAAATAATTCAAAATATTTGATGATACCAGTAAACAATACCTTTATCTGCTATCTATAACTTTTAGAGAAATTGATCGTAATAATTATTTCTTTCTTATAAATGATCTACTAACCATTCATCTTCTTGTTTTATCTAAATATCACTACCTCTACAAGTGACACCTCCCTAACTTGTGGAGATAACTAAAACACAAAAAAGAATTACAATTTCTACTTAGATCTACAAGTGGCATCTAAGTTGCAGACGTGAGCATAAATTGCAAATGTATACTTATGGAAACAGTGACATTTAAGTAAAACTAGGAAACGAGATATATAGATGATCATTTCGATCAATTATCCTTATTTTTTTTTTTTCCTATTTTGCCCCTGCATCAAAAGTCAAACCTAAGAGTCAAGATTTGCATCGTTGGATTTTTAAAGCTTGGTCAATTACCGTGGAGTTGCTTCTTACCCCTTCAAACTCCATCTTATTTCAATTCTGCCATTTGACTGTTTAATCCGGTCTTCATTGACCAAACTTTCGCTTTTTACTCATTTTTCCCCTTCTTGATATCGATTCTGACAGATCTAACCCCTCTTATCTTCTCATATGTTACAAACATAACATGAATACCCTTGAGAGTTTTTTTCCTTCAACAATTAACCCCGTTAGGTTTTCAAGTTTACAGTGGTTTCCTTTTCATAACATTTAGAATTCTTGTCATATATCGTCTAAAAAGGTTGTTTGGTTGGTTTTTCATTACGTATTGTATCTATAAAGTTGTCTGTGTGGATTAAGCACCTTATATAAGCCGATAATATTTTTGTTTAAATATGATGTTTTCATAGATGGAGGAAACGTGCTTTTTAATTGAGAGAAACATGTTATATATAAAAAAAACTTAGTTTTATGTATAAGTTTCTTCTAATAATTTACTGAATAAGTCTTTTTCCATATCATTAAGTCACTACCTAGTACAACTGACCGAATACGGTGTGGGTCTCATTAAACGGCTAACATACAGACCTTAAATGCCACATCGACAACATTTGATTTTACCTGTATAGTTTTTGGACGTCTTATTTTGAATCAAATGCTAACGAGTTGGGAGTAGATTGTGGACCAAAAGATTAAAAAAAATATGGTCCAAAATGAGAAAAATATATAATTCAAGGACAACCTTGGTGATGTTAGATTTCATAGTTTTTCAAGATTTATTTTAGTGGATGATGATGAAATCAAGATTTCTTTATTTATATCAAGGAAGCTACTATGCATATTTCTAATGTTTCAAGGATGTGCATTCAAACCCTTTGAAAATAAGAAATTTACATTTTACCCCCCTCAATCTATTATATATACACCTTATTAATGTATTCCACTTCTTCCAACTAACACTTCCGCACCAACTTTCTTACATCTGACATTTGACTTTTCTCTCTCTAAAACCCTCCATTTTTATCTCTCAAAGTCCATGATGCAGATCGGTGCAACGATTCCGGCGAATAATCTTCACGTATTTCAGGCGAGACGACTCGCCGGAGGCTGTAATTATGGGTCTCCGTTGAACCCATCAGGAAGAGCTTATTCAACGAAGAGCATGATCAAATCCACCACCTTGTCGACCACAGGACCAACCGGCGACCGGCAACACCTCTCTAATCTTGAAAAACTTCTGGGTATCGAACCTCGGGTGATTCTGACGGAGCCGGAAGTGGTTCAGGATCCGAGTTCCGATCACGGGTCGTCGGAATCGGAAAATAGAGGAAAAGGTCTCTTGGAAGGGCTGAATTTACCTCAGATTTGGCCGGAAAACAAGGCGGCGGAGGAGATGTCTCCACGGCATCTCAACCGCTTGCGGCGGTTGTTGTCAAAAAACGGGATCGAGCATTCTCCGCGGAACAGTTTAGCTTCAAGGTGGCGGGAGTATCACGGTAGCGATAATTGGATTGGTTTACTCGACCCGCTTGACGAAAATCTCCGGCGAGAAATGATCCGTTACGGCGAGTTTATTCAGGCGGTATACCATTGTTTTCATTCTGATCCCGCCACATCAGCAGACGAAGCTCCATCCTCGCGCCATGTGGCTTTGCCGGATAAGTCTTACAGGGTGACGAAGAATCTTTACGCAACCGCATCAGTCGGGTTGCCAAAATGGGTCGATAAACTTGCACCAGGGCTCGATTGGATGAGCCAACGGACGAGTTGTATAGGGTACGTGGCGGTTTGTGAAGATCCCAGAGAGATATCACGTATGGGACGAAGGGATATAGTAATATCCCTCCGTGGGACCGCCACGTGTCTTGAGTGGGCCGAGAATATGCGGGACCTGCTAGTTCAAGTCCCTGGACCAAAAGATCCTAAATACGGTCAACCAAAAGTCGAGTGCGGGTTCTTAAGTCTCTACAAGACTGCAGGAGCCCATGTCCCAAGCATGGCGGAGTCGGTGACCGAAGAAATCAAACGGTTAACGAACTTATACAAAGGTGAAACCCTAAGTATTACCGTAACCGGGCACAGCCTTGGTGCAGCATTAGCGTTATTGGTGGCTGACGACTTAAGCACTTGTGTGAACGACGTGCCACCAATAGCTGTTTACACCTTTGGCGGGCCCCGTGTCGGAAACCGTGGCTTCGCTAGACGTTTAAGTTTGCAAAATGTGAAAGTATTACGGATCGTGAACTCTCAAGACTTGATCACTCGAGTTCCAGGTATGTTTGTTAGCGAAGAACTTGATAAAAAGCTAAGAGAGTCGGGTATTGCTAACAAGGTACTGAACATGCTCGATAACAACATGCCATGGGCGTACGCTCATGTTGGGACGGAATTAAGGGTCGCCACGAGAAGTTCCCCGTATCTGAAGCCAGACGCGGATATGGCATGTTGTCATGATCTGGAAGCGTATTTACACTTGGTTGATGGTTTTTTGGCATCGAATTGCCCGTTTAGGGCAAATGCAAAAAGAAGTTTGGTGAAGTTGGTCCACGAGCAAAACTCGAATATGAAGAAGTTGTATATAAGCAAGGCGCCGGGTTTGAAGCTAAATCTCGAAAGCAAGGTGCAAATGTCGAGTTGTTTGCCAAGCCCGTCTCAATAGAATTGTATAAAGTGTTGTTTACTAAACTCTTACCAGTCAAGCAGACACAGACACATGGTAAGAAATGCTTACCAACAATGTTATCTGATAAACGCTTATCCGGTTAGCGGTTAAGTAAATTTGTAGATTACAAGATGATATTCTTTTTCCAATAAGTATGATATGGACTTCTTGATTTTATGTATATGGATCATATAACAACCACTTAAATTTTCATTTATTTAAATCCATGTGTAATGTATGTAATTTTTGTTTTCTCTCATAATTCTTTTATTTATTTATCTCTATGTAGAACATTATTATTTTAAAAACAGTAATCAATGAGAATGAAAATAAAAATAAAAATTGTTTAATTTTCTATAATATAACAAGTTCTTTCCTATAGAAACCCAAAATTTTATTTATGATTAAACTGTTGGAAATAAAAATTATTCTGCTTTTCATTCCTTATCATGAATCAAACATATCCTTAGTCTAAAACCAGTTAAAAGGCATCGACTCTTAATCCATTAATGAATTGTATTTAATAGTTCATATATGTGTTTTTTGAAATTTTTAACTAAACGTTTTTATAGTATTGGGAGTTTATATGTGTAATGCAGCAAAAACGCATTACTAGTAGAGCCTAGTCTCTCTAGAGGTCACATGAGGGTGGTTTACGATATTTGTCATATATAAATATTTTATAATTTTAAAAAGTAAAATTTAATTGTAAGCTGTAAATTAATTTGTTTTAAATCTGTATTTGTATTGTGTTTCTTAATTGTGATATAAAAAAATCTCAAATTTTGTTATTTATTTGGTTTGGATTGATCTTATATTTGGGAGAAAGTAATATAAATTTCTAAAAACTCCATTTTTAACATTTAAACGGGGAGAAAATAAGAATATTTGAATATATATTAATAATTTACACTTATAGTTTTATAAGTTGTACCATTTTAAAATCAAGAGCTTCTAAAAAACAAAAAACTTAAATACTTTATATTATATTTATAATATAATATAGACAAATACTATATATAAGTAGAGGGAATTTAAAATAAAACAATACAACTCATGATTAACATTTGTATTAAGAAATAATTGAGATATTTATGAGAGATGATAGAGTTCATTTATTATGATTAAATCAGAACCAATCAAAATATTTACGGAACCAGATTCATAGACTATAAGAACAGTTAAAATTGATTTGTATGATTTATAAAAATTCAATGGTTTATATTTGAAACTTCCTCTATATGAATGAATAAGCCAAGTTGTTTTGTTTTTATTTTATTTTTAGAAACACGGGTTTGTAAAAATAAAATTTATTATGTAAACAATGTATTCTCTAAAAGTTTAGCCAACATTTCTACACTTTATAATGAAAATACAATAAGTCATTTTATCAAGACTTTTAAACCATGAATATTTATCGTGAATACTATGCAAAATAAATGATTTATAGGTTCTCAAAATATTTAAGGTTACTAAATGAAGGCATTATTGGTTATAAAAATGGTAAATAAAACATGAATAATACATTATAGCAAACAAAAGCTATGGGTGTTTAAAAAACCGTTGAATTGCTCAAACCGATCAAATCAAGTTGAATCGGATCGTTTTTAGCAATTCAAGCGACTTGAATGACCTGACAGTCTTGTTCGAAAAATAGCCAATCCGCTAAGTCCGGTTCCGGTTCCGGTTCGGTTTATGGTATGTTTCGGGAGGTTAAACCACCCAAACGATAACAACACAAAACGTTAGGGTGAAGCCCACCCACATGATAGCAAATCACGAGAAGATTAGGTTTACGCCGCTTCTCATATATATGCCGCTTTGGTAGGGTTTTTCTACCGCCTCTCTTCTTCCATTTTACACACACACTCTCTCTCTCTCTCAGTTCTTCTGTCATCTCTAATTCAATCCATTAATGGCCGCAATTCTCAACAATTTCTAAAGTTTCATTACTTATTCTTCATCGAAAGGCGTAGGATTTTTGTTTTTGTGTTGAAAAAAAATGGCATCAACGAATCCTTTTGATCTTTTGGGTGATGATGATAACGATGACCCTTCTCAGCTCATAGCAAAGCTTCCGGTGGCTGTTGCAACCGCTAAGAAATCTCCGGTTGCTAAGCCGGCAGCCAAGCTTCCTTCCAAACCGCTTCCTCCTTCTCAGGCTGGTACGCTTACTGTCACTTTTGCTTTTATTTTAATTTGTTCAAGCTATTATTCAAATCAGATCTGTTTTCCGATTGGAATGATGGAATTTGATGATCACAGATGGTTATTAATATATGTAAAGAATGTGAATTTGAAATGTATGTTTAGAGATATGATTGCGTGTTTGTATAATTACTTCCAGTTTCTGGTTTTTATATGTTCAGATTGAACCATTGATGTTTGAGTTGGACCTGATTAGCAATCAAATAAAAACAGTGTATAGTTTGATCAAATAAAGAAAATTCCCTAAACTAGATTAACGGAACTTGCAGACCAACCAAAGTCGTTGTTAATTGATATATTGGATTAGAGTATAATCAAGAAGATAAAAGAAGCATTGTATCTTTGAATGAAAGAGGGTTTAGAATTGTAGTTTGATTGTGCAAACATGATGGTCTTCCATTTTAGAGGGATTTTTTCATCAATTTGGTGTTTGTAAGCTCGACTTGAATGACGACTACCATTTTAGAGGGACTTTTTTCTAGTATAATCAGTTTAAATTCAGGGGTACGAGCAATAGCTATATTACTTTTGACATTCTTATTATAATATATACGATATTTTCTTCTCATGGTTATGTAGCATTGGTGTTTTTTATTACTCAAGTGTTGTCCAAAAATGTTGGTTTGATTAATCATTCTGCCGTTTAACGTAATTCTGATGTTAACATTGTGAAATATTGTTTTTTGATTTAGTGCGAGAGGCAAAGACTGATGGTCAACGTGGAGGAGGGCGATTTGGTGGAAATGGAACAGGGAGAGGTGGTCGTGGTGGACGTGGTTTTAATCGTGATTCAGTTGATAATGAGAATTCATATGGAAATAACAATGGGTTTTCCGGAGGGTACAACAGACCTTTGGAAAATGGAGACGGTGAGAAACCATCTGAAAGACGTGGACCCCGTTTGGGAAACCGTGGTGGCCGGCGAGGTGGCTACAGTAATGGAGATGGCGCTGAAGGTGAACGCCCTAGGAGGGTGTTTGAACGCCGCAGTGGGACTGGTCGTGGGTTAGTACTTGTGTACATGTTAAAGCTAACTTCATAACAACATATTCATGATGACTAATAGTTATTCGTCATGATTATTCAGAGTTATGCATCATGAATAATACATGAAATAGTTGGTTTTCAAGATGTTTATGGTTCTCATTTGAACTTTCCTCTAATTATATTATTTTTAATTATGTCTTTTTGTGCAGAAGCGAGTTTAAGCGTGAAGGTGCAGGTCGTGGCAACTGGGGAACAGCCACCGATGAGGTTCCCACGTAAGTACCCAAGTTTTAGCTTTTTTTTAAAAGCATTATTTTTCGTGAAGTAAAGTTACCGTAAAAGCTTCAATGAGTTGATTGTTGCTTGAATGATAAATTGTATGTAGGGAGACTGAAGAACCTGTTACTGAAACCGAAAAGATTATGGAGTCTGATAAACAAGCAGGACAAGAAGATGTTGGTGATGCCAACAAGGAGAATACTGTAGAGGTGGCAGAGGAGAAAGAGCCCGAGGAGAAGGTGGGCTTCTTTTCTTGACCTCATTTTAAATATTCTTTAGGGTGCGTTTGATATCAAGACAAAACAGAAAAGAATAGGACAGAACAATTGTTTAGCATTTGGTAAGACAAAACTGGATAAGATGGAACTGAGCAAATGAATTAATCAAAATATAGAAACCATGTAAAAATAATATTCTGAGGACAGTAAAGTGAAAGTTTAAAAGCATAAAATAAAATAAATAAATTTAAAGGATGCATAGAATGTAAAGGACGTATTTGATGTTTTAGAAGATAAATAGGTTTTATCTTGAGGTTATATGGGGTGGGGTGGAACATACCTATTCCACTCTGTTTTTGTCTATTGCATATAAAACCCTGCCAAACATGTAACAGTGATCCCTGCTCTGTCTTAACCTATTCAGTGTGCCTAACGCACCCTTATGTTTTTCATCTGAACATAAGAAGATTGTGTTATTATGGTTACGAACTTCATTTTGAGGTCTTCTTGTGTTTGATTAGGAAATGACCCTGGAGGAGTATGAGAAAGTGCTTGAAGAGAAGAGGAAAGCATTGGTAGGACTGAAGAATGAGGAAAGAAAGGTGAGCTTAGACAAAGATTTGGCAAAAATGCAGCTGCTTTCCAACAAAAAGACTGAAGAAGACATCTTTGTTAAACTGGTATACTTTTCATTAAACTACGACCATTCTTGGTATACGTCGATATGTTTATTTTATATATATTTATAATCGCTTTTGTAAACAGGGTTCTGAGAAGGACAAGCGTAAAGAAGCTGCTGACAAAGAAGAAAAGGCAAAGAAGGTGAGACAATAATGGCATAGCTGCTTATTTTTTGAACTGTTGAAAAAGCCTTATTTGGTTAGCCATAAGTTAACTTTTGAAAAACTACATGAAATTGGTGTTTCAATAAGCTGAAGGGGATTTTTTTCACCTTTTTCAGTGATTCCCCTTGTATTTTTATAAGCAATTTTTTCAGCATATCCTTTTTTGATGATTTTACCTTGTCATCTAGCTTATGAGCTAGTTTTTACTATAGGGTCTGTTTGTTAGTTGCATAATGAGTTTAATGGGATTTACAGCTTACTTGGTGAGCTATGCATGGCTGTTTGACAGTAGTGTAATGATATAGAAAGTGGCTTATTCAATAAGCTTTTAGGCGGAGCTTTATGCAGAAAGCCAAGTTTTTTCTAAACCTGTCCCTCCCAATTGAAGGACACTCAGATTCTGTCTACGAAAAATCCCTCCCAAACAAAAACATTCTCAATCTATACAGACAAATTAATATATATGGGCAATTTTATTCATACACGACTTAATGAAAAACCAACTTAACATCCCCTAAGCGTGACTAGTTTATCAGTTAGTTTTGCTTAGATTGAAAATCGATTATCTTACTAGTTTGTGTTTGATTTTGCAGTCTGTAAGCATCGACGAGTTTCTGAAGCCTGCCGAGGGAGAAAGGTACAATAACGGTGGAGGACGTGGTGGTAGGGGCCGTGGGCGTGGGTTTAGAGGAGGATATGGAGGTGGGAACATAATGCACAATGTGGTTGCACCGTCTATTGAGGATGTCGGTCAGTTCCCATCGTTGAGTGTCAAGTGAGTTAAGGGGTTTTTTAGTCTTTTTGGTTAGTAATGGTCAAATTCTTGAAAGACTTGTTAGTATTTGATTGAAACTATTATCAATGGTCTTGTAAGAGTGTAAATCATTAAGATACCTTGCTACATGCCCTTGGGCTTGGCTTTCTTTGAATTATGATTCAGCATTCTATACCATTTTGGTGAAGTCTTAACAAGTCAAGTTTTTTAGCCTGTGTTATTTTCCTTATAGATGATCATAACAAAGACTTGTAGAAACTTATTGTTGAATAAGATGGCATTTTGATGCCCAAGAATCTTACCTGATAACCCGGTTAACTTAGTGAAAGTCACGACTCTTACCTAGTTGGCTTAATGAAAGTTGCAACTCCTACCGATAAGCATTTTTGATAAATAGCCACTAAAATACCAGCCTATCTCTCAAATATATATAATATATAATGTTGAAATATTATGTGATCAAAAATTTCCTTGTTAAGGAATCTAGACTTTAGAAGTTGATAAAATCCTTGAAAATTGAATGTAGGTTGTGAAACTATTTTTTTTCCTTTAAGCTATTTAGATTATTATATTTTTACATCTTATTTTGAGTTTGCAAAAAAAAAATTATGTATTATAGTTTACAATACTTCTATTTATATTTTAAAGAAAACGATTTTTTAGGCCCGTTAGTCCGTGGACAAGTCAGTATGTTTATAGGACGAATTATTGATCCCAAAAAACCAACAATGCTTATTCGACAAGAAAATAGGCGAGACCAGACAAACCCGTAAATGATCACCTTGGTGATAGCCTTAATTTTGTGGTATGGTTTTCGAGTCTTGTTAAACACCCGAACTCCATGGGCCTTGTTCAAAAACTTTACTTTTAGGTCGTTTATCAAACGTTTATCAGAAAAAGTCACCACCTTCATTTACCTTGTCTAATAACATTATTGAACATCAAAATGGATTGATAATAAGTATTTATCACCCAGTAAGTACTTATTGAATAAGAATCACCACCCTCATCAGATAAGACTCTCAATCATTGTCTATCCTCTTAGGTGTTGTTTGGTTTGTAGGATTGGATTTAGAGGGATTTGAAATCAAATTTTATTCAAATCTCATAATTGACTTGAAAGATTTTTTGGATTTAAAATAAGTATATAATTTGAAATTTTCATGGGGTGGTTGGTATTTTATGAAATTTTATATGATTTAAATGTACAACGTTTTAAAATATATTAAAAACATTTGTTTTGTAATAATCATTAATAAATAGATAATTTAATTATTTTTATAACGATTTAAAATTTGTTCGTATAAATTCTTTATAGAGAATGAAATTCAATTTCATTCAAAATTCTACAAACAAAAAATACCAACATTTCCATATCTTTGAAATTCGAAATCTTTTCATGAAATCCAGAGTCCCTTACAGGGTAAAATTCTTTGTGCTTCCTATGCTAAACCGGTAAAGTAATTGATCAATAAGCGCTTACGAAAGATTCAACTTTACATAGAAAACAGAACATCAAATAAGAGCCACACAGAATCTTGTTATATAAGGGGAAAAAGTAGGTAAAACTTTCGGCAAATTATAGATCACAAAGGGATGCAAACTGTGAAGCAGCAGTATAATATAGTCATCATTCAACAAATCTTATCCTACTTTTTTTGTACAAGAAGTTCCCTGAATTCAGTTTACATTCAAAAGAATGGAAGTTCGACCAAAGAGACACGATTAATGATCAACGGCTTCAAAAAGTAAGGCACTGAAGTTTATAACACTTGTAGATCGTAAAGCCATTGACCACCGAAATAGTTCAAGAGCAGCAACCTGATTTCTGGTTGACGGGTTGTCCTCGGATCTGAACGGTTGGAGGTCTAGCATTGTTCATTGCTGGCTGGCTTGCCATCCTGCAAATAGCCCAAAAAATTAGTTGCTATTGATACCATAGTCATATGCCAATTAAGAATATATTTTTTTAAGATGGTTACTTTCTGCAGATTTCAAATTTTAACATGTTCTACGAGTTATCAGTCATATAGGGTGCTTTTCGTACCTGGATGGGACCGGAGAGTATTGGACAGGTAAAAGTGAGGTAAATAATTGTGAAATGTTTAGGGTTTTAATATGACATGGTTAGTTAGTAGAGCATCTTCAACAGCTAATGCTAAAAATAGAGATTTTAAAGATTTAGCAATTCTTTTGCTTCAACAGCTATGCTAAGACGTATACTAAGATAGAGAAAAGAAGAAAAAAATGTGAAAATCTCCAATTTTGGAGAAATCTCTAAAACTCTATAGAGAAATAATATCTTGATCATTTTCCATCAGTATGAGATATGGGTTGGGTTCCGGTGAGAAGGGAAGTTAAGTAGAGAAGCGTAAGAAGGGATCTCCACCCTTGGATCGATCCAAATTGGATGTCAACACTAATGAGGTGCACCGGATCAATTCCCTTCTAAAACACAATTCATGAGTGCGCATGAGACTAAAAGTGATCAAGGGTTCAGATCTCTTCTTAAGCTTTCTCACCGTAACTTCCCTTCTCACACGATCCTTCATCTAAGAGATATTAAAGATAAATGTTTATAAGAGAGAGATAATATTTTATAAATGTATTAAATATTTCAATAATATAGTGCTACAATTGCTAAAATGGAATAGTTGTTGGAGTTGGATGTAATTTTTTTAGATTTTGATTTTTAATATTCTATTATGAAAAAAGTATAGCATAGTTGTTGGAGATTTTCTAATTGACAAATCTTATCCCAACTCCCTGATATTCGTTTCACCAATTTTTGATGGGACAAAAAAATGCATATTTGTCACAATGAGTTCCCGTTGTGTCCCAGTCTAGCGTCATGTCAAACGTAGGACAACAAGTTTTTGTACTTTATTGTCCTGACCCATGTACCAAACGCTAGGGGTGAGCATGGGTTGGGTCGGGTCGGGGAAAACAACACAAAACCCGATCGGGTTTTGGGTAAGACTTATGACCCCCGAATATAAAAAACGGGTGTGTAGGAGTTCGGATTCGGGCTTTGTCGGGTTTCGGGTGTAGTCAGGTCGGGGGTATAATAATTATAAACATATAATGTCTCAATTCTTTGTTCTTCATACTTAAACATTAAAGATTTAAAGTAAATTCACACTTCAAAAATCCAAATTTCAAACATTAAAGATTAAAGTAAACATTTAAACTAATAAAAATAAAGTTCAAACTTCAAAGTGGCTATTAACAATACTATTAAAAGGTTTAGGAAATAAATTAAAAAATTAAAAAGTTGGGCCGCTAGTTCGGATTTTCGGACGGGTTCAGGTGATGGGTTTTGAGGCCCGAACCGAACGAAATCACTTTCGGACTTGGGATATTGGGTTGGTTCGGGTAGTTTGAGTCGGGGATTTTCGGGGGGTTTTGGGTTGGATTTTCGGGTATTTCAGGTTTCCTCAGCGATGTGCATAACATACAGTTTCATCTGTGTTGGATATAACTATCACTTATACAAACATGTTTTACGACTTAAATGCATCAAAATAGAAGCGAAAAATGAAACCTGTTTTTGATTTCAGCAGCCATAGCCATAAAAGCCTCTTCCACATTGGTGGCACTCTTCGCACTTGTTTCTAGAAATGGAATCCCGATCTCATCAGCAAATGCCTGCATAGGGTAAGTAACTCTTACTATTTTTCTGCAATTTTTATAAGCTCTAAGAACAAAATGATCATATCAAGTCCATAAGATAGGAGTCCTCCCATGAAAACTTCATATATGCTCGAGAAATCAATTGGTACGCTAATTGTTGGCTAATAAGCTAGCTCTTAAACTTCTGATATATATAAAAAATTAGATGATAAGCAAGATAGCAATGTAAAATGACCTAAAAGTACATGGTGAAAAACTAGTTGGATAAATATAAGCATTACTGGAAAAAAGTGGAAGACCGCCCCTACAACTTATTGAAAAGTTAATTGAAGTAGTTTTCCAAAAAGTTGGCTTTATGGCTAATCAAATGATGCTTTTCAATGAGCTCAAAAAATAAGGTAGTTTATGATTTAAGGTAGTTTATGATTGCCAAACATGGTCTTTACTTTTTGGGATGTCCCATGAGAATTACAAAGTTCCATTTTCTAAAAAGTATTTCATGTTCAAAATTACCTAATTAGCCATGATCATCATTACAAATAATTGATTTTGTCTTGTACTTGAACTATCTATCAAGTCGAAAATGTTGCAATTTTCATTGGAGAAATCGCCTATAGCACAAGAAGTCTGAATTATTACCTTTCCGGTTTCATATGACACGACCTTCTGTGCTGTAAGATCACACTTGTTTCCAACGAGAAGCTTGTTTACATTCTCACTAGCATAACGATCAATTTCACTCAACCATTGCTTGACATTGTTGAAACTCTCTTGATCGGTCACGTCGTAAACGACCTGCAAGAAAAAGTCCCAAGTGAAAAAGATTGCTTAAAAATTTCCCATAGCTTCTATCCTCCGTACAAAATTGAATGCAAAAACGATAGTAAGAACACGAGATGATGAATTATTTACAATAATGCCATGAGCTCCACGATAGTAGCTGCTGGTGATTGTCCTGAAGCGTTCTTGCCCAGCAGTATCCCACTGTATGCAAAAGAATAGTGAGAAAAAATAACAGCAAAATATATATATATATATATATATATATAGGCTGCTAACATGAAAATAATCCTAGTTTTAAAAGTAATCACCACAGCATACAAAATCAGCATGCCAACCACAACAAGGTCAATGGAATATGAGAGGATTATGAAGATTTTCATGAATAATGCAATATACAGAATATATACTCGAGCTAAGGTTTGCACCACTTCTTTTAAAATTTTCACAACTTATGCCAGTCATGACTCAGGGTGTGTTTGTTACACCGTCAAGAGTTAACAGGGCGGGACTGGACAAGATTGGACAGGCGAGAGTGACTGGAAGTGGTGAAAGAATTCTGTAAGGTTTTAATTTGACATGGGTAGTTCAGTAATTTACTAATCTTGTCTCATCTCTTTGATTTTTTGTTCCACCTATTTTGGTGGGAGAAAAGTAATGCATTTTTGTCTCACTCAGGTCCTTTCATGTTCCAGTCTAATGTCATGCCAAACTTGGGACAAGTTTTTGTACTGTCTGATTCCCTCCTGTCACACGTACCAAAAACAGTGAGTGGGTGGGATTAAGGGAGGATGCGACTTGGCATATAGTATCAGTATCCATTTTTGTGTCTTATCTTTTATAATGAAGCTACTATATGTACACATCTAAACCCTAAAAACGGTGTAGGTTCTTGGCGATCATTTCCAAATGAATACAAAAGAAAGTAATATCTCCAGTGTGAGCAATTCTAGGTATATGCAATGTCGAAGCTTGAAATAGTTAACACGTCAGCAGAGTGAGTTAAGAGCTTACAATTTGGAGCTTAATTGTTTTGCCATCCTGTTCCACGGTGCGAATTTTCTATAGAAGAGACATCGTAATTAGTAAAAAGAATACTTACTGAAATAATATCACATAAAAATGGAAACTTAATCAAGAATTGCTTACAAAGTCCACACCGATGGTGCTGATGTAACTTTCCAAGTATGAATCATCCTGCAGTACAAAAATAAGAAAACGGTCATGGAATTTCTCAAGAACTTCATAGTAAGTAAAAAAAGCACAAACAAATTGGATGATAACCATGCATATCAATTCGATTAATGTGACAAATTAAGAGAGTTATCGTAGTTAGTTTCTTTTTATGTAAATCGTCAACTTTTTTGTTCGGATATACTTTTAAAGTTTGTTTTGAATTTCAATCACCAACTGGCATGCAAACTCTTTCTTTAAGCAAGAATTGCAAATACGGAAAATGTGCAACTACCAGAATTTGTATATATAGTTTAACCACACAACATATATGCTATTAAATGTGTCAATTAGCCGTTCAAGAGATGCCTTAATATGACAAAAGAGATAATGGCAGATATGTTGACGTATGTATTATAAGCAAGCATCTATGTTTTGTGAATTCACTTTATGCTTTTATCCAAAATACAAGTAACATGGCCTTTAACCAGTGTATGCAGATAGAAATAAATCAAGCAGACTGATTGACCATCAGAGAAAATAAACATGAGGAAACTTACGGCAAAACGCAATAGAAGGCATGATTTTCCAACTCCTGAATCTCCAATGAGTAATAGCTTGAACAGGTAGTCACTACAAGAGCAAAGAACTATGAACTTTAACAAGCCTACAATGAATCGATAACTTATAAACACAACATTTACACTTTTATTCATGTTATATTAATATCAGTATATGTCATAAACCTCCTGCAACCTATTACAGATACCAAATCTGGGTTTCACTTCACTATAGGCCTGAACCACTAAGAAGAAGACAAGCAATATAGCTATCATCTCAATCTTACATATTTTGATGTAAGGATCTACAAGTTCAAAACAATCCCCTAAACTTAAAACTATAACAGTTCAGATACTACTAGATTCCGATTCAATCATTCAAAAACATAAAATCTTGGTTTAAAGTAAATCTATTTTAAACCTAACCAGTAATTATTCATACAAGCCAAGATTACAGCACTAGCCCAGTTTAAGGTCAAAATTCATCCAAGTCCATCAAGCAAGCTCGGTTCTATCTCAACTTTCAACTTCAAAATAATATCATCAAGCTCACACAAACAAAATTTATAGCCCGTACAAATCCTTGAATTTGACCCAAGTCAGTAAAAAAACTGGCAAAATCAGGTCAAACTTTTAAAGTCCAAATCAAAATTCATAATTTAACAATAGGACTCGCGATAAAATTCAGAATAAAACAATTTAAACTTCCTTAGAATATCTAATTACAAAAACAAAAATTCAATAATTCAATGGAACTCATTTTATGGATCGAAATCACTGAATAGATCGCACGAGAAATAACTTGATTTGATCTAAAAATCCCAAATTTAAGATAGCAATAGAACCCTAAATCAACATCAAAATACCGATAAGTAAACAACTAATCAAATAACATAGTTGAGCACCTTAACTAGTCAAACAAACATAGATCTAGCAGAATCACATGAAATATAAATCAAAACGCGAAATTTGGGTCAAAACTAGAGTATCTGCGGTTTAACTAGAAGAAAGACGTACTATTCGGGATTCATTTCCGTGTATAGAGTTGAGATCGAGTGATCGGAGATATGCAGAGAAGATTCCGACCGGCCGACGAAAAATCGGAAACTTGACAGGAGATATAAGTTTGAAAGTAAACGATTTCGTTTGAAGATATCTCGAAGATGCCTGTAATGTCGGAGTTTTAAGAATGTAGGTACGGTGGGGGTGACGTATTGAATAGAAACAACATTTGACACGCGTTTTTTAGCACAGTAAAATTACGTACATGCCCTCTGCATTATTGGTTTCCTTTTCCTGCAAGTAGTTTTAAATATTTTAAAAATATTTTTTTATAAATAGACGAATCATCATGTAAGAATAAGAGTTAGGTTGGGAAATGAAAAAACACTTGTATCTTACCATAGTTAGAGATGCGTTTTCCTTTCTTATCCATGTATTTAAATAAAGTCACATTCGCAAAATGCTCTTCCAATATAACTATGTTATAATAATTTATAATATATGGTTTTTTCATGATATTTGAAATGAATGGAGATGTAATAGTTGTACTTTTCAAAGCAAGAAACATGTGGGTAGAGATGGCTGATACATCCAAAAAGATTGTGGTTAGAGACTTGGAGCCGATTAGTATATTTATGCCACATATATATAGCAATTACTTAAATATTGTTATCTATATTATATTATAAAATATTTGATAAAAAAATTTAAAAATTATTTTTATATATGAATTATTTTGTGTATTAATACAAATTACTTAAAATTTAAGATTACAAATAAATTATGCATGAGTACAACTTATTAAATCTCCATTTTTGAATTTGTATGACTAACTACAGATAAAAATAATCAAATACAAGATAAACATCTCATTTTTTATATAAAAAAATCTAAAATATAATTAGGATAATCATTATTTTTATAACATTTTATTGTTAAGCCAAAAATAAATTACTTCACTAAATCGTAAAAATGTTATCTTTCTCAAAATCAGATAAATTGTATTATATCAACAAAAACAAAAAATAAAACAAAATATAAATGAAGATATATCGAGTACCAAATTGATTTTATTTTTAAATTGAAATTTGAAAAAAAAAAAAACTTTATTAAATTTAAGTTAAAATTAGTCCATCTCTTATCAAATAAGTATCTACATTTTTATATTATTTTTAGATATATTGTTTAAGATGTTCGAGTCAACTAATTATTTGTATTTATGTGAAGCGTTATTTTTCTTAACCGTTACTTATTATATATAATATGGTTTTTTTACAAAGTATTTTCCTAGTTGTTTTTCAGGGTTTTTGGGATCAGTTGAGACGCGTACAAGCAGACTCGGACACCCATAATTAACAAAAAGAAGTACGAGGAAAAAATATAAAAAATATTGTATTCAAAAAAAAAAATTTGCCAAAATGTTTTAAATTATTTACTTTCACCCAAAATAGCGTTTTTCATCCCTAGGTTGTCAAATTGGAGCTTGGGTTTAATTTTAAAATAAATTTTTGAGGAAATTACCAGTTGGACATTATGATGTTCAATCAGTCTAGGTGTCTCCTTATTTCAAGAAACATTGATTGAGATTAGAGAATTTTACATCTAGTTTTGCTTTGTTTAAAATTTTCCAATCTAGATTTTGATTTTTTTTTGGATATAAGATTAAATATGTATGTATACATAAGAGTGTTGGACATCGGTGGCGACTCTCTCTAGAAACCCAATTGATAATTGTTGGAAGATCGACTTGAATGGCATTGACAAGCAACACCTAGTTGAGTGTAGCATTGAGTTCGGATGGTTCACATCGTTTACTGTGTTGTCTTCTAAACGAACCCATATGGATCATCCTTGCATCCAACATGTTCATCAAGCTCAAGTATGAACTCATCATTGATAGCTACAAACTCATCAATGGTCATGGAGTCAATGTCGCAATCTCTGGCAACAGTTGTATCATATTATATATGTCATTGACGATTTTTTTTTTTGCAAAAAATATATTAAAACTTGACAACACTTTTAAAAACATGGAAATCAAGCTTTAAACTTTGTGTCATGGAAGAGGTCGTTTTCTATAAAAAGAATTTTGACAATCTACTGATTATGTTGTAGTTGATTGTGATGTTTCCTCTTGTATAAAATTAAGTTACACAGTCAAAAAGTAAATCATTATATCATAGTTTTAAATCATTTTATGAAAGAAAAAAAAAACATGATGTATAATTTTTTATATCATGTTACCACTATATTCATATTGAAACTGTAGGGCAAGGTCCAATAAGGTCAACTCATGATCTCTATACTATGAACCATAATGATTTCTTTTTGCAAGGTCCATTTTCTACAAAGTATCATAAAAACAATTAATTATAATTTGGAGGTCGTTTAACATATGCTTATTTGGGCAAATGTTTACCGGTAAAATTCAACATTATCACTTACTTATCTGGTAAGATTTTAGTCCATCCAAAATATTATCGTATGTAATAATTTACCCGGTAAACGTTAAATGTGGTAAGAGTCGTCGCCACCACTTACCGGTTAAGACTCTTGATCATTTACTTTTGCTCTTACCGGATAATATTCTTGGTCTTTGCCATATATGTACAGTAAGATAATGTGACTTGGTAAATGTTTACTTACGTAAGCGTTTGGTAAACGTCTCCTTAGTTAGACTTTGAAATATCAAAAATTACTTTTTAAGATCAAAATGCCAAAAAAAAACCTTACTCTTCTTTTAGAATCCAAATGTCCCATGCCCAGATGGTAGACAATATAAGTGTATTTACTTCAAGTATCTGTTAGCCTATGCTATTCAAACCTCTTACACCCAACACCATCTATCCTCCTTCTAACTCTTCACCACCATATCGTCATCATCTCTCCATCACAGTCTGTTGGCCCCTATAATCGATCTTCTTCTTTTTCAAATCTTTTTTGTTTCAGTTCTCCCTCATTTTATTTATTTGTCTATACGCGTTGCATTAAATTGTTGGAGAAGCACACTCAAAAGAGCAAAAAAAGGATAAAAAGAGGGGAATTGATAGCAGGATAGAGAGGAGAGAGAGCGATGTGGGTGCGAACGGTTTGAATGACACAAGGTTTGAACAGTAAACATTATGTAATTTTTTTCACTTCAAAAAATCTTCTTAACCTATTATAGATAGATAACGCATTCTAAAGTTAAACGATGTATGTATTTAAAAAAAATCAAAACACCTAATAATTGGAAAAGTTAAATAATTTATTTATATTTAAAAATAAAAATTCATTTAAGTTGAAAAGGTGTATTTTAATACTAAGAAAATAATTAAATTAAATTAAATTAAATTAAATTGGTTATTTATTTAAACAGAAGTGATGGGTGTGAGATATGAGAAGAATGATTAATCCATCGCTCAGAAGGAAACATTTTTCCATGCCTTTAAAGCGACGCATACTGCCACGTCACCATCCCAGCCTCCAGGCTCCAGCTTTGTCGTTCTCAAAGTGCCTTTTTGATATTCTGGATTTGGTCCCTAAACTATGTACCTATCATCAGATTTAGTCCTTCAACTTTTTTACATCTAACTTTGTTTCAAGGACAACACCAGTCTCTGATTTTCTGCTTCTTCGAGTCATTATTTCATATACCTACTTTCTTCTTCTTCATTTACTCTATTAGGGTTTCAATCTTAAGTTAAAGAATTGAGTTCCTTCAAACATTTATCATCCTCCAAATGTAAGATTTCAAGTAGTGATCAAAGCTTCAAGTCGTCCTCTCCATATTTATATATGGTTTTCACCAAGTTTATAAGTTTTCTAAAAAAAACTCTTACTTGTAAATCATGAGTATTCTTAAATTTATGAACTCTTGGAAATGGTGATGCAATGGTTTATTGGAAGTTACGGGGACCTTGTTTTATTTGGTAAAATTGTGTTAAAATGAATCTTATGAGGACTTTTGAAAGATAGAAACTACGTGTATGAGTATAGTTTGCTACTTTAAAATTGTGGCGCATGTTCGACTATAATATAATGGATCAATAGGCATAAGAGTCGGTCTATTTGAATAAGACGGTTTCCCTGTTGTAACTAGCTAGAATTAGGCATTGGGTCATCGAGATCGGTTTTGTTTGGATCCTCATAATCGAATACTACTCATTTACCATAATATGTAATTTCCAGTGAACGAGTATAGTTACAGCCATCAAGGGCCTTAAACTTTGAATTACGGTTAATTGGTGCCATTGACCATTGATCCTTAAGTCTTAACATGGAACTAAGGCCCCAATAATTTGTTACATGTTTTGTAAGGTTAATTTTTTTTATCATATAGTTTGTATTAGTTAACATATTACATTATCCATGTTTTATTTTAATTATATTATATAACAAATATATTTTTTTTTTTCTTATCAAATAGTTTTTATCATACGTGATTAATTCATCAACAAGTTTTTCAGTTAATAAATAATTTATTAGTTAATTTGCCAATCATAAACCTTAAACCAGTATCATCGATCCCCTATCAAATATCTTATGGCACACACAATCAATCTCCAAGCACCATCAAGCAATATGAAAATATTATAATGATCAAAATTGCATAAAATAGAAAGTTAAGAGGCATAAAGATAACAAATTCATAGTTTAGGGACTATTTTTGTAAATTACTATCTTAAGTTTAGTACCTTCCGATCCCCTGAACTTGAAGTACATCCTTGTCAGATAGATGCACGCTTTCACGTACGCACATACTGACCGGCGGGGAGAGGCCGTTTCCGACGGTTGCGCACTGTTTTATCCACCACCACACCATTTGTTCGGATCAAATTCAACCCATAATTTCATCCTCATTTCTCGTTCTCTCTTCCCATTGTAACAGCTCGATCATTTGAGGAGAGTAAAAATATTTCAATTCGTTTCTTTCTCGGATCTAGGGTACTGTTTGTTTGCGATCGTTAATTCATGGTAGATTGTGGTGTTTCATATTGACCACCGCCGGAATAATAACGGACGAGAAGATTATATTATTTTTTCATATTTGATTCGTCGATCTCAGCAACCATGACTAGTGGTGGCGGTAACAATTTAATCTCCGTCGATCCTGAAGAGCTCAGGTTTCAATGTAAGCATGATTGTAATTGTTAATGTATTTGATTTCTTCTTTATGTTATTTATTACTCCATTGAGGGTTTATTTTCTTTTAATTTATCATATGTTCCGTTGTTGGTCTAAGTAAATCTAAAAGTTTGATTCGGATTGCGTTGAATCAAGTGGTTTTAATTTAGGTTCGGAGAACTTATCTGCCACAACATGTGGCCAATTGGTTTTTTTTATTGGCGAAAGTAGATTTGAATGTGAAGATCGTAGTAGACGAAATGTGTTGAATCTGTCTTTTAGCTGAGGAATTTTGCCGCTAGTGATGATTATTGCAAGGAAATTAACTTTTGTGTTTACAACAGAATGGTTGGAAAATGCATCATCTTCTATTGAATCCCGTGGAGATCTACAGTAGCGATGAGCATTTGTGTGAATATGTTAGCTAGCCGTGTTGGAGTTGTAACTTAGAACATGCTTCAAGGAGCATTTGCATAACATTATGTTTGGGATGTTTGATCTTTCATGGGAAAACTCTGTTTCTGTTTCTGTATGGACATATGGTTCTCAGCTGAGTTGCTGTAGGCCTGTAGCTACATGACTACATCTAATGGATGATTTGTAGTGAAACATGTGCAGTGGAATAGAGTAGAAAGATTAACTATAATAAGAACATCTTCCCGAAAATTTAGATGATATTTAGAATGTGCTGAGCTTGTGCACCCACCTGTACTGGGATGAAGAAAAATGTTGACCACTCTTTCAGGGATGAAGCAGCTGCGCGAGTACTATATGTGCTTGTCAATTGTCATACCTAAGGGGATGTCAAGGTGGAGTGGAAGTACCCAGAGCATTATGAGTAAGATTTTGAGTCTTTATGTTTGCAGAGACACTGCTAAAGCGAGGATGCTATTTCATCCTCTTTATCGGGCATGATAGCTTGCATTGTTTTTTTGAAAGGAAAAGAGGTGCATAACTCTCTTAAGTTTATGACGATGGATGGTGAAGATGCTCCACATAACGTACACCATGTTCTCTTTTAATGGCACACATGTTTTATTTAACTTACTTCTATAGTTTCTTATGGCCGAAGTATCAGTTTCAGCTTATCGAGCTGGATGGGATAGACTATTAAAAGCTTTGTAACCCTTTTCTGTTTTTTAGATCCCTAAATGACATGTCCCTCATGCTCTCTTTGTTTCATGACGATACATATGCTTTTGTAAAAATAAAGCTTTAATAATCTCTACTACAGTTATGCAGGAGGTTATAAGATACTTGCATGTTACATTGGTTGACAGTGAAGTCCAAATGTCAAAATGCTTTATTTGTACCGACTTATCTGAGATCTTTTAGCCAATAGTTGGGACGACATGTTTATTTTTATGTTCATTTACAAACAAAAGTCATGTGTTAAAGTTAAAGCACATAGTCATGTTACTGTTTTTACTTTTGGTTGAAAAGCTATTGGCTGCAGATCTTTCTGAGTTGTGTATACATAGCTTATTATTTATCCGTTCTGATTTCTTGAGTGTTTTATTCAACAGTTGAACTGGAGAAACCAATGCATTGTGATATCAAGGTTACTAACACCACAGACAAGCATGTTGCCTTTAAGGTATGCTTTTTGCCCTAAAGTACTTGAATTATTTTGGAAGTGTGTTATTTCTGGTTGGTTTGTTTACGTTATTCTTTTTTTTTTCTCTCTCATCATGTTTTACACTTAATGTTTCATTGTCATTGACTTGGCTCATGATGCATACTTTTGTACCTTTTCCTTGTTTTTACCAGGTCAAAACTACTTCGCCCAAGAAATACTTTGTGCGGCCAAACACTGGTGTTATACAGCCTCGGGACATATGTACCATAAGAGGTGCTATCTGAACTTTTCAGTGAAAGGGAACAAATTGACATCACCATACACCTTATATTACTTAACTCACTGAGTTAGAACTATAATTAATCAATCATACACACCAAGGGGTACTGTGCACCTATCCCATATAAGTGTATAACACAATACATTGGCATTGCAAGAAGTGATACATAGTAGCATATTAGCATTATACAATGGCATAATGAGATCATACACAATATTACCATGGATGTTTGGGAACTCTTACATCACTATCTGGGTTTAGCCATTGCCTGGGAACTCTTGCACCAAAATTTCCACAACATGCTATGAAAATCTATCACCTAGATCCTATTATCATGCAATTTAATATCTTTTAAAGGTGGAGTTTTGTTGAGTTATGTGTATAATTTAAACGTCACCCGGTATTTGCCTTCTGCATTTACATTTTAATTGAGAAGCAATTGCAGGTTGCTACTAAAGCTTTCTAGGCATGTCAAAAACACATCATCTTTGTGGCATGACTTGCAGAACTATTTAGGGATGATCAATATCAGGGTGTTGGTTTATTATACTATCATATATGTTGGATATGGAGTTCGATTTGGACTGTATATTTGCATACAACTTCGATTGGATTTCACAGGCAATAGCCCACAGTCCAAATTTTGTGAGAGAACAGTTACGATGACAGTTTCTTGTCTTGCCCATCTATATTTAGGCAGTCTTTCTTCTCTGCAATGTACGAAGTTCACAAGAATAATAAAATCCAAGCAACTTCTGTGAATGTAGAGTAATTGTTTAACCACTTAAAATACCATGCCTTCAGTTTTCCATTACATGCAATTTGCTAATGTAATTGAGGTTGTCAATGGCAAAGGTATATTTCAGTAGAAGATATCAAGTCTGAAATTAATCGTCTAAATTGTTGATTTATTTAAAGTCGAATCCCCCTTTATGTTTGATTTAGTAATTACATGTCTTCTAACTTAAACTTGTTGATACACATTTAGTTACCCTTCAAGCCCAAGTTGAGTACCCTCCAGATATGCAATGCAAAGATAAATTTCTTCTACAAAGCACCCTGGTGCCTGCAAATACTGATACCGAAGAGCTTCCACAAAATACTGTAAGAATATTTACATTCCGTTCGACTCAAACTTCATTGAAATGATAATTAACAGTCTGGGTGTTATAATTGTCGCATCCAGTTTAGCAAGGAACCTGGTAAACAATTAGAGGAATGCAAGCTTAAGGTCTGCTATGTTGCTCGCACTGATCAGGGAAATTCAGATGATAACCTCAAACAAAATTCTGATCCAAGCTCTGTGAGTTCAATATCAATTCCTTTTCCACTTTGTATCTTTGGTGGGTTCAAATTTGGCAAAGCATAACTTATTTCGAAAGATGAATGAAGTTAAACTTTATATATTAGGGGAGTTTATGATTGCGTTTCTGCAAATACATTAGAACTTAATTGCATTCAGCAGACTTGCCAGAATTAAGATTTTCACATTTCTTCCAAACATATATTCGCTGTATCAAAATATAAACTACAATTATTTCTCATCCATCTTGAAACACTTTTCTTACATTTTTTCATGACAGTAGGCAATGTAATTGCAATTTGCAAGTTTGCAACATTCTCTCAATGAAAGGTTTCTTCGATTGTAGTGTCTTGCTATACATATGTACGTGTATATGTAAATATATATAGAGAGAGACAGGTTCATACGAGAACATTAACCAAAAAGAGAATAAGAAAAAGGTTGAATCATACATGATTTTACTCTAAATTCATATGTAAACTCACATGTGATTCACGTGACTTTGGCCGTGACCTGAGATCGCGGGCCACATTGGCCGTTAGCGTAAAATCATATGTGATTTTGCACGTGATTTGACCGTTTTCATGTTCTCTTATTTGGTTATTGTTCTCCCTTGGACCTCCCCCCCCCCTCTCTCTCTCTCTCTCTATATATATATATATATATATATATCTCCTATATGCTATCAATGTTAAAAAAAATTACTAAGCGACTCAAATGACAAGTATCTCATAAGGGGCAGGTTCATTTGAGAACCATAGGAAACAATTATTATAATTTATGAACTATTTATCGTGAATGCTATGATAGGTATTCATGAATATTTAGGTATATTAGTAGTTGGTTCTCAAAATATTTACGGTTCCTAAATGAATATTCCCCCATCTCAATAAGCAAGGTATTCATCATATGCATGGAATAACTTGCTTACATTCTTTCTTTAAATGCAGAATCAGGCTATTCAGACCGCAAGAGCCGCTAGGGATTCAGCCGTGAGAGAGGTAACCCAGCTGCAACAGGAACTGGTACGTTTACTTCTTTAACCTAACACGGTAGCTGGTTATGTAGTAAAATGTATTTACTTCCTTCGGCCCAAGAAAAGCATGCATTTGAACTAATTTTAAGTGTCAGATGACTTATGCCATTTTCATATCAAAACTAAAACTAATTGCCTTGGCTTTAGACAGAAATTTGATTATTACATCAAATTGTGACAAGATATATAAAGATGGCCCATAAAGTAAGGGTGGTGACTCTTGTCCATAAGCGATAAGCGGTTACTCGGTAAGCTTGGTAAATGGCCCCTTAATTGCGAAAATGACTATGGGGGCTATTTACTTCCTGCGGACCTCCTCTTACTGAGTAAGAGGTGCTTACCTGGTAAGAAGGGATGTTGTCCAACACACTCTTACCCAAAAATATGCTGACTGAGATGTCCCAGTAAGGAAGGGGTTGCTGCTTCAGTTAGAGCTTAACCAGCACTTGGTGAACAACCATTTTTGGTCGGTGCTTACTATGAATGCACTCTTGCTCGGTCAACGCGTACCCAATTTGTGTCGATAAATGGGCGACAAGATAATTTTGCAATCAACCACAAGGGTTGTGGCGTAGTGATTGAGGCCTTAGGGGTTGTGGTAGAATATCCCATTTGCCCAGGGCTCTATTCTAGGCGTACACAACAATTGTGGTCACTGGTTTTAGCAGGGCTGATTTCTTGCAGTCATAATTTACCGCAATTAGTCCAAGCATAGCCTGGGACATCCTTCCAAAATAAAAAATGACTTCACATCTACATGTTGTGTGAAATCTCATCTCTCTCATTCCCTCTCTCTTTCTGTGAATAAGTTCCTGAAACCGTTTTGGTTCAGGTTAGTTATTTGGTTTTGGATTTCTTTTAATACCCCTAGTGCCACCATTCACCTAAATCTCTTGATCTGCCATTGGTCAGCCGTCATCGCTTACCCAGAACTCTCTCTTACCTAAGATAACTTTACAATTACATGTGTCAAATCTCATCTCTCTCATTCTCTCTCTCTTCTGTGCATAAGTTCCTGATAGTTTTTTTTTTAATTTACTTCAGTAATTATTAGAACTAAACATTCCAAATGTTTTGAATTTACTTTAGGATATGCTAAAGAAAAGGAGACAAAGATCTAAGGCCAGTCCTGGATTCTCGTTGAGACTCGCAATAGCTGCTGGACTGATTGGGATAATGGTTGGTTTTGTCTTAAAGCTGGCTCTGTCTTCACCACCGCCACCGCCTCCACCAACACCAACACCAACACCACCGCCAGCAACAGCCGGGGCAGAGTAATTTTCCCGGCTGTTTCTTTCAAAATCTAGAAAACTGGATGATGATGATGATTCTCTAATGAACAAGTTTGTCGAAATTAAGCTGATGATATATAGCTTTACGTGTTGTTTGTCTTCTTACTTCAATTCTCTCTGTACATGGACCATTGCAAATTGCAACATTAACTGTTTGTTGGTACTTTTTTCTCAATACGTAAATGGACTATGCCATTACTATTTGAAAGATCATGTTTTCATATATGCATGGAAATTATTCCCCAGTATTTGTATGTATGATTGTATCATTATTGTTTAGATATGTGAATCTATCTTTTTATGAGCTATTATAAGATAATATATCTATAAAAGGTCATTTTCAAAGGAAGACCGACCGTAAAAAAGAAAAAACTGAGGAACATCCGGTTAATCTTCCATCTGGAAGGTATGCACGTGTGCATAAAAACCAAGAAACAACTTCAATTATTTGTATGCATATGCGGATAATATTCAGGTGAATGATTATCCTGGTGTTCTTTATTTTTTTGGGGGGTTTTCCTCTGGTTCTCATAAGATAGCCTATTTTCGTGAGATTACATTTTTACATTTGAAACTTCATAGCAAAACCTTATGAAAGTAAAAAAAAAAAAATCAAACATTCGTAGTAAACACACTGTGAAGTCTCAATTGTAAAAAAAGTGATCTCACGAAAACAAATTGATGTTACATAATCTCAGATCTATATATATGTATTTATTTAACTTATATTATACATTGGTATGTGACTTAGGCAAAAAGTAAATAAATATGCCTAAAACTTTGTTCCTAGGATTATTGAAATTAAAATTTTATATTGGAGTTCATTTATCAATAAATGACACAGTTCATCCATTTAATCTTTCTTGTAAAATTTAATATTGGTTTAATTTGTTTGGGAAAAACAAACAATAATTTATGATACAAATTATTATTAAATATTATGAATATATTAAAACATATTATCGATATATTAAATCCTTATTAAATGAGACATGAGACCATGACCTTTATCTCAATGTTAAAGGCCGGCCTTGCCAACTTATAAACCTCATAAAATCACTCTTATCAAGATACCGTCTTGTTCGTCGTTTGTCTTGTTTATTTTTTGTATATTTAAAATTTTCCTATAAATGTAAGATATTCACGTAATATGATATGTTAATATTTATTATATGATATCACAGATGCAGGTTCAATTGCAAACTTAAGTTATGTTGTAAATCAAAGGACAAAGAATAACGCGTCACGTATTACAGGCATTCACAGGATATTTGATCAAAGATGGTATATCATTCATCATGAATCTTGTAAAAGAAATCCACAATTCATTATTTATGATAAATGTAAACAAATGAGCACACATATCGTACTCTCGTTTGTCTTTCCAATTCACAACATAAACCGAATTTGCAACTAAATATCACACCACTATTTATAAATTACAAATTTATAACTCAACCATAAATCAATTTGGTTTTCATACAATACTACATGTATTTAATATGGTTTCATATAAACATTATGATTTTTATAATACCTTTAACGTGTAGCCTAGTTGATAAAGATGTAGGTAATTTTGTCTAAATGTAAAACAGGTAATGGGTTTGCTCATTCGAATGAGCCGGGTTCTGTATGGGTCCAGTTGAGACTGTTGGTAAACAATTTTTTGTCTAAATACAGTTTAATTTTAATGACATATATAATTCATGTAACAACAATTGTTTTTTAAAGAGTAAAAACTAATAAAAAAAATACAAAGTTATAGGTTTTTTTTAGTTATAGTAGTATTTCTAAAGTATTATTTAAAAATCAAAATTAAATACATGTTGGACGAAAGAAAAAGGAATCATCCAACATGGGGCTAATAGGCACAATTTAAAAAATTCAGGGGAACATTTTTTTGAAAAGAAAGTCAAGGGGGGCGATGTGTAAAATCAAAATTCGAGCAAATGGGCGGGAAAACATCGACCCAGCGAAGTTCTCAAAACCCTAACTCCAAATCCATTTTCGCGCCTCACCCACCACCTTCACATTTCTGCAAATTGCTTACAGATCGAAGATCATGAAGAAATATTTTCACCATTTCTACATCTGAATCACCTTTGTTACTCCTTCACAATCATCAAGCCCTAATTTTCTGACCTGCTGAATCGTGGATTTGAACAGTTTCGATGGAAAATCAGCTGATGCTAGCAAACGCATCTGATGAAGTTATCACTGAGCTTAGCATTGCCAACACCGAGTTAGAAAATAGAGCATGGAGCTTGTTTGCTATTCTGCTTTCCATCGGGCATCCGGTTCCTCCGATCCATTTGGCATCCCGATGCACTTCTTTTGATGCGTCTCTAGAATTCGTTGAATTCGTTTGCTCTATGCCTGATTCGCCTCTATCGTTGACGATTGATGGATTGGTTACGGTTTCTTCCGGTGTTTGTATAGGTTTAAAGCGCTTTTTGTGGAATTCAACTCTAGGTTTGAAGATTTTGGCTCCTCGGGGGATAAAGACGGGAGAATGTTGGCGTAAGAGGGCATCGGAAGATGTTGAAATAACGTATTACCGAAAGCGAAGAAGATTGTGTCCTAATGGTGCAACAGAGAAGGCTGATCAAACGGATTTGGCTATGCCTTTTAGGATCTCAAATGCTTGCGGAAAGGTACTTCATCTTCATCTTCTTTTCTTTTTCTTTCTGGATCGGTTTTAATTTAGTATGCTCAAGTTAACAATTGGGTATGAGTGATTTTAATGATATCCAGAACTTGCTGCAAGTATATGTATCTATTTATCATGGCAAGCTCTAAAGTACTCCTTCTTGGCCTTTGGTGTAACTCATTAACTTTTGATTATAGATCCTATTGCATGCTCCTGTAATTTCACTTTGGACCCTTTTAATGCAAAACCAAATTTTCTATTTGCTTATTTTGATGGAATCTTTGAAGGTTGACATTTCATGGATGGTACCGGGCACCCCGCTTGAACTCTCTTTTTATTCAAGGTACTTGACTTGGTCAGTGTTGAATGATTATAATTTTTAATTGATAGGTCTACATACATGTTGATGATGACACGGTAAGGAGTGTGATCATGAAAGCAAGCAATCAGTCAGTTGGTATATCTAATGACAGTAGACCAGATAAGGTGACGGTTAAGATGCCCTCACTCATCAACTTTAATGCTCGACCCCTAAATTATGGATCGAAAGGTAAACATGAAGGTGAAAGGGAGATGGGTACACTTTTGAGCATGAAAGAGCATGGAAGCAAGAATAATTTTCTTGGTAATGATAGTTACATTCGTTTCCCTAGTCCTAGTAAAACGATATCAGGAGGGGATTATTTTCAGTATCAGTCGTCATCTCATCTAACTGCAAGTTCAATTGTGCGAATAGAAGATATAAAGGGCGAAAAGTGTTCATTGAGCAAAAAGTGTAGTACATCTTGCCAAACAGATGATAACAAGAAGGTACTCTCACTGGTAAATGCTTGGATTGACGAAAGGTCTTCTAGGGCCAATAACAACTCACTTGAAAGACATAGACTTGTTGAGGGAAGAGAAGGCAAATATATCTTGGATTCTGCAAGCCATAGAGGCTACTTTGAAATTCTGTCAAATAACCCTGTTTGTGGGGACAAGATACCTGAATCTAATTCTGGAAACAGGAACAATTTGAGCTGCAATGACATGACACCTTGTTCTGGCAGTGGAGAAAAGGCATTTTGCCAAGAAGTTGGCAAACAGAGCAAAGTTACACCTAGAGACAATGAAAAACTAAAAAGCACCAAAGAAGCTGATATTGACGATTTTAAGAAGGAAGATAAATCAATTTGTGGAAGTGGAGAGTTACCTTGTTCACAACATGGTGAAGGAGATGCTGAAAATCTGTCATTGAGTAAGGAAATGGCTTGTAAAGATGACTATAAAAAGAAGAACAGTATCAGAGGCAAACACACTAGTCTAGCTACTGAGCTAAACTTGATGACTTCTACAAGAGAGCTCAACTCTCTTGAGCGGAAGCATCTGCCAGAATCCTATGTGGAACTGGAAGTTGATCCAAAGGATGAAAAAACTTATACAGTGCGAACAGTCTCCATAACAACAAACAAGGGAATTGATATTGGTGCCCATATTGAACAGAAGGATGGTAGAGAAGGCAAGAGGTCAGTTTTTGTGAAGCAGAAGTCGAAGCCAACTTGTGACCAGAAGATGCACACTCTCGAAAAATGGGAAAGATTAAAAGAGAACAAGGAAAAGCCTACCTCCATTTATGTGAAGGTGAGCTTCAATAATATAGGAGTGTCAGATATTGTCTAATCATGGTTTTAGTTTGATATAAATAAAATTTCCCAGCTTATTAGTTAACTGTCATAACACTTAAAAGCTTTGGATGCTTCATTTGCAGGATCATTCAGAACCAAAAGTACTGCCAGTGTTTGATTCTTATATTGTAGAGGAAGAAGAAGGTTCAGGTAATTTAAGCAAAGATGAATTCTTAATTCAAATATACAAGCTTAAAAGACCTAATTTCATGGCAGAATTTATAACATTTTTTGGTTGTTTTTGACAAACGAAATTCATAGGTGGTTATGGCACAGTGTACAAGGCACGAAGGAAAAAAGATGGAACAACGTTTGCTATTAAATGTAAGCAGCTGAATATCTCGTTCATGCCATGCCTTTTTGGTTCAACAATGTCAATTGAAGAAATGGTATTTTTGATGCAACTGCGTTAAATTCATAGCAACTAGGCCTTCTTGGGGCCCAAGTAACATTTTCAGGTCAATAGCTTTTGTTTAAAAATATACATAATATAATCAAACTGGGTCTGTTTTATGATGAGTACTTTTTGTAGTATTCAACAGTGTTAATACTAATATCAACAATGATCCTTTTAGGATATGTCGTTAAAGTTATTTATCTACTTAATTTACAGCATCATTATTGCCAATACTGTCCACTGCAATTTGTTCTTTTCAGTTATGAATTATGTTAACATCCTGGTAAGTATTAGTTGAAGCAATGCTCACCTGGCACTGGTGCATTATGGTTTTGCAGATCCTCATGCAAATGCAAACAGACATCATGTGCTCAATGAATTAAAAATGCTGGAGAGATTCGGGTAAGGATGATGAAAGGTATTACTTGAAACAATCTTCTCTGTTATGATACTGATGCAGAATGCTATTATACTTCAGGGGTAAGCAGTTTGTGATT